TCATGATGGTCCTGCTAATATCGACTCATGAATTCACCTATTAAAATATTCAGTATGTTCAGTTTCAAATAAACTAGTACCATCTGATATTGGCAGAATTCATACTTTTAAAAGGTTATAGTTTAAAAGAGCAAGAACTTAGATTCATTTTATTTTGTTGGTTCTCGTCAGTTGTATAGTTTAAGTGTAGAAAACAATAGACAAACACAACGCGATAACACTAAACTTGGACAGTTTCTACTACTGTAAAAGATCAAATTACCATGTTCTTCAAAATGTTTCTTAAATGACAAATAACTCAGTAACATCAAATAAAATCTACTCATTCTAAGTAAATGAGTTGAATCTTTTTAAAAAGAAACTATTAAAGTGAGGTGGTGAATATTTCAACGAATGTGATAATTGTTTGTATTGACCTACAGTGGTGAACAACCGCACTGACTACTTAAATATTACATGTCATTTTACACATTAGATTATGATTTGTGATAAATCTATAAATGACAGACCTCCCCTATTCACTATCAGATTAATGATGCATTCCAATCTAACAATAAAAAACATTTTTTGACAGGTTTAGATAACAACAGGATGTGAATGTGTGTACTTTTAGCTACTATTATATAAGTATTTCTAACATGTTTTTTTCATTGTATATAGTTGAAAAATTCTGTTTAACATTGAAAAAAACAGACAAACAGCTATTCATCGCCCATGTATTCACTTTAAAAAAATATTTTGAAAAACTTCAGTGGAAGATCAGACTAAGGCGAATCTTATGATTTGTAAAATATTTCATGTTAAGATTTTGGCTTTTCTATGTTGATTATGGAAAAAAAACACTTACTTACTTACGCCTGTTACTCCTCGTGAAGGAGCATACGCCTCTCACCAGCATTCTTCATCCAACCATGTCCTGGGCAATCCTTTCAAGCTCTTTCCAGTTCTTATTCATCCTTTTCATATCCGCTTCTATTTCCCGACGTAATATGTTCTTTGGCCCTCCTCTTTTCCGCTTCCCTTCAGGATTCCAAGTTAGTGCTTGTCTCGTAATGCAGTTTGATGATTTCCTCAATGTATGTCCTATCCATTTCCATCGTCTTTTCCTAATTTCCTCTTCAGCTGGAGGCTGGTTGGTTCTCTCCCACAGAAAGCTGTTGCTGATGGTATCCGGCCAATGGATGTTGAGTATCTTGAGTAGACAGATATTGATAAATACTTGTACCTTCTTGATAGTGGTTGTTGTAGTTCTCCAAGTTTCATCTCCGTACAGTAGAACTGCCTTGACGTTGGCATTGAAGATTCTGACTTTGATATTGGTTGAAAGTTGTTTTGAGTTCCATATGTTCTTTAATTGAAGGAATGCTGTCCTTGCTTTGCCAATCCTCGCCTTGACGTCTGCATCTGAACCTCTTTGTTCATCGACGGTGCTTCCCAGGTATGTGAAGGATTCCACATCTTCCAGAGTTTCGCCATCAAGAGTGATTGGATTGCTGTTCCCCGTGTTGTGTTTGAGGACCTTGGTTTTTCCCTTGTGTATGTTGAGGCCTACTGATGCAGAGACTGCTGCTACGCTGTCTGTCTTTATCTGCATTTGTTCGTGTGTATGCAATAGGAGGGCTAGGTGATCTGCGAAGTCCAAATCGTCTAATTGATTCTGAGCTGTCCATTGTATGCCGTGTTTTCCCTCAGATGTCGAAGTCTTCATAATCCAGTTGATCACCAGAAGAAAGAGGAAGGGAGAACGTAAACAGCCTTATCTTTAATTATTATTTATTTTAACACATAGGTATTGGTACAAGGAGGCACTAAATACATATGCGCACACGAATCTCAATTGATTTGTGTGAGGGCTGTGATACTGCTCGGGTGCCCAAACCGTAGCAGGTGGTCTTCTTAGGGGGCCACACCCCGAGCCTTCGACCTGAACGTCTGACCCACAAGGCAGTGGAGCATCGTAAGGAGATGCAGTCCCATGGTAGCCGGTGACCAACGATTGGTTCATACGCCATTTGTTCCTTTATGATACTGGAGCCCATATGCACCATTGGTTTGGAATGAGGGTTTTCCAACTCCCCTAGTTGGATCCTCCATACTCACCAACCCGTTTAAAGCGCCGGACATTCACTTTTCGTCCTCTCAATTTCAAAATAACACCCCCGTCACGAGAATGCAGTGAGTAGGACTTCCCTGACAGAGATTATATACGCGTGGCCATGTGAGAGCATTTCGAGAGGGAGAGTGGACTCTCCCCACTCTCGGCCGTACCAGGGCATTTGGGGGCCTTGTTTGACTCTAGCCCTACTTGGAATACATCTGTCAGCTGTTCTCCATGCACTACTTTGCACTGTAGTCCGTCGTATGAGTTCCGGATAATATTGACAATCTTCTCAGGAACTCCGTAGTGTCGAATAATTTTCCATAACGTTCTCCTATCTACACTGTTAAATGCCTTCTCATAATCAGTGAAGTTGATGTATAGTGATGAATTCCACTCAGTTGATTGTTCGACGATGATCCGTAGTGTCGCAATCTGGTCTGTGCACGACCGATCCTTACAGAATCCAGCTTGTTGATCTCGAAGTTGGGCATCTACTGCATCTTTCATCCGGTTCAGCAACACTCTGTCAAAGACTTTCCCTGGTACTGACAGTAGTGTAATGCCTCTGTGATTTTCACACTTGCTCAGATCTCCTTTCTTTGAAATCTTGATGAAGTGTCCTTCTTTCCAGTCCATCGGCACTTGTTCCTCCTCCCAAATCTTCTTGAATAGAAGATGAAGCATGTTTGTAGTTACTTCGATGTCTGACTTCAATGCTCCAGCTGGTATATTATCGGGTCCTGCTGCTATACCGCTCTTGATTTGTCTGATAGCCATTCTGATTTGTTCCGTCGTTGGTGGATTGACGTCTATAAGAAGGTCTATGTGTGCTGCTTCGATGTCCGGTGGATTCATTGGTGCCGGCCTATTCAGGAGTTCCTCGAATTACTCTGCCCATCTGTTCCGCTGTTGCTGAATTTCAGTGATTGGCCTGTCTTCTTTGTCTTTGACCGGTCTCTCTGGTTTACTATGTTTCCCTGCTAGTTTCTTCGTTGTATCATAAAGCTGTTTCATATTTCCTTCTCTTGCAGCTTTTTCCGCCGTCGTTGCTAGTTCTTCCACGTATTTTTGCTTGTCAGCTCTAATGCTCTTCTTCACTTTCTTGTTTGCTTCTATGTACTCTGCTTGTGCTTGGACTTTCTCTGCTCTTGTTCGACTGTTGTTAATTGCTGTCTTCTTGTTCTTTCTTTCTTTGATCCTGTCCAGTGTTTCTGTAGAGATCCATTCCTTGTGGTGATGTTTCTTGGGGCCCAGAACCTCTTGACACGTTGAAGTTAATGTTTCTTTGATACCTTTCCAGTTGTCCTCCATAGTAGTTTATTCTTCCTTCGGTAGATCCCGTAAGGCTTGGAACCCCTTTATTGAGAGCTATTTTGAATTCTTTGGGTTTGTTATTATCTCGAAGGAAGGCTGTATTGAACCTTTGCAGCGCTGCTTGTTCAGTTGTCCAGTTCTTCTTTAGCTTCAGTTTTAAATTGGCCACAACCAGGTGGTGAACTGAAGCCATATCCACTCCTCTCCTGGTTCTCACATCTTCCATTGTCCTTCGAAACTTTTTATTGATGCAAATATGATCTATCTGATTCTCTGTGGTGTGGTCCAGTGAGATCCATGTAGCTATGTGTATACGTTTGTGTAGAAATATTGTGCCGCCTATGACCAATTTGTTGAATGCACACAGATTTGCAAATCTTTCCCCGTTTTCGTTTCTTTCTCCCAGTCCATGTAGTCCCATGATAATTTCATATCCGGTGTTGTCTATTCTGACTTTGGCGTTTAGACCTTCCATCATAATAGTGAGGTCCTTTCTTGGGCACTTCTCTATGATTGATCGCAGTCTCTCATAGAATCGATCTTTAATGTCGTCGTTGCTATCATTTGTGGGTGCATAACATTGGGTAATGTTCATTGTGATCCCCTCATTCTTTGTTTTGAATGATGCTTTGATGATTCTGGATCCGTGAGATTCCCATCCTACAAGTGCATTTTGTGCTACTTTGGACAGCATGAGAGCAACTCCCTGAGTGTGTGGGGCATTTTCGTCTTCGTGACCGGAGTATAGCAGCATCTCTCCCGTATTTAGCCTTTGTTGTCCAGCTTGGGTCCAATGGGTTTCACTGATTCCCAGTACTGCCAAGTAGTATCTCCTCATTTCCGTTGCTATTTGACTGGTCTTCCCGGTCTCACATTGCCCGGACGTTCCATGTACCTATAAAAATTGTTGCTCTGGTTGTTAGAAGGGGCATCGGCATCGTGGCTTCCGAAGGAACTCGGATTTCACCATGAGGCGTCATATTTATTCTAACTGAAGACCTTCTAACTCCAAGGGCAGAGTTTAAATGGTTTGAGTTATTTTTTCTGGTTAGCATTTTTTTAGCGAGTTAGTTTTCTATGGGATGGGGACGCTAACCCCATGCTCAACCCTCCTCTTTTAGTCGGGCTTGGGACCGGCAGTAATTCTGAAAGCGCTACAGGCGGAGTTGAAAAAAAACCCATTAGATTAAAACATTGATATATGAACAAAGGATATTTTTCTCAATAAGTTCTTATCGGTTTCTATATTTATAAATTCAAACCAAGTTTATAGTATATACAGTAATTTCATCTAGCTCTGATTATATAATTGAAAGCTAAGCTACACTAAAAGTAACCATGATAGTTTAATATTCTGTTTTTTAAGGAATAATGAAAATGTGGTAGTTCGGGTCATATATATTTTTTGTTGGATTATTTGGTCAATATTAATTTTTATTGAAAGTTACCAATAAACTAGTAACAATGTATAGAAATGAGTACAAATTAATTTTCGACTGTATATTCAAAGTAATTTCAGACTTATTATAGTTTAATTAATCAAATTTGCCTATTTACTTTGTCTAACACTTCTTCATTAATATAGTGTCCCTGCATTGAAAGATCTATCTTCAGAGAAAATGAAAAAGCTGGCTGATGTCTTAGAACCAGTAAGTTTAAATTATAATGTTAGTGATAATATTGATAATACTAGTTATTATTGCCATAATTACCAGCCATTATGCTTTATTTTACATCAATTAAATAACATCGCAATGTAAGAGTGTAAATAGGTAAAGATGTTATTTTAATTCACTATTTATAACAATTAAATTTATTATTTAGTTATTTACTTTTCTTGATATTATTTAAGTTGATTAACATAACATCATGGTCCACTATACTTGATTTTAAATTCTTTTGAAGCTATCAGTTAGAGGCTCTGTTTTATGAGTGCTATATTTCATAATTTTCATATATTAATAGTTACTAAATAGGAATTATACACAGATAGAGTAAGAATAATTGTTCTTATTTGTTATTATACACTTTATATTATAACACGGAAGTTACCTTAGTCAATTATAAGCCTTTTACCGGTTATTTTTGTTCATAAGCATAGTAATGCATATACAGAAAAGTGATTGTATAAATGTCATATCAAGTTGTTTAGTCGGAGCTTTAAATTAAACTATAGGCCACCGATTGATGATCTACATACAAAGAATCACTTAAGGATGAGGATAATATTATTTATGCCATCATTTTCGCCAGTACACAAGAATGTACCAATATTTTGAGATACCGTGAGGGTGTTGTAAGCAATAATTAAAATTGTTAAAGAATTACACCTAGATAACTTGATAATAATATTAACAATAATCTCTAAATGTACTCTGTGATTAGAATAAATTTGAATCATTGAAAAGGCGAATATTTATTCATTTATAATAACAAATCGATATTTGAATAAGGCCAGAATAACAAGTAAGGCAGCCTTAATTGTTGTTCTGCCTTTATTCAAACTCATAAACGGAACCCGTTGCATGATTGATATTTATTAAACATGTCAGTATTACCATTTCAACCATCTTTGTTCTATTAATGATGATATTCAAGTAGAAAATCAAATAACTTTAGATTTTATATTATACTAACCCATAATGTTTTAGATTGAAACAAGATTTAGTAGTCTTATGAAAATGTTTTTAAGAAAATGTATTTGCTTCGTTTTGTGTAAATCTATACGGTATACTACTACAAATTATTTTTCTTTTTTTTTGGAAAAAAAACCTAAAATAGATTATCTCATTAAAGTACAAATACGACAATTTAAAGAAATTAAGGGATTTTTTTCTCAAACTACATATTTATCAAATCTAATTTTCTCTAAAATATTTACTATTCTGTCCCATTTGAAAATATACTAAACCTTTTAAACGGTATTACTTATTATATAACAGTTGTTCTCTATATATATTAATAAATACTTCATTATGTAACTACTCTTAAAAATTAAGCGATATAAATATATATATATATATTCGAAAGTTGAGATCATGAATCAATTGAAACTGGATCACCATAGAGAACCTGGAAGCACTGGACGGCCATTTCGTCCTATTGTGTGACTCCTCAGCAATGCGCATCCATGACCCCGTCTCTCAGTCTCGCGCGTGGGCGCTTAAACACTAAACCACTCAGCCGGTATCCAACGGTGTTAATGTCTAACTTCAACTAATCCACGAAATTAGGTGATACATCCACCATTGTCATCAGTGAGTTACTATCTCACAGCTGACCCGGTTGAAATCATGATATGAACTATTGAAATTACTACAATCCCCACAAAACCCATTCTGATACATGTATATATTATAAAGAAAACTTTTCAATATATATTTCATATTTTCTCTCTCTACTAAAGTCCTCTCACACTTATTTCATTATTAATTCAATTTTTTTGTTTTATAAATAAAGGTGTTTTATGAAACTGGTGAATATATAATACGTGAAGGAGAACTTGGTGAAACATTTTTCATAATTAAATCTGGTAAAGTAAGTCTACATTTGTTTGTACAAGGAATTTCATATCTATGTTAATAAATGCATAAAATTTGTATCTAAAATGAACCATTTCCAGGTCAGTAAAAGTGAAAAATACTGAAGTTAATAATAATAAGTACTAATATGGTTATCACATCCAAGTTCCGTGACTTTGTTTAAGTTGGTTCTTTAGAGAATCAATAGTTTATTTCATCTAAGCTAACTTGAGCTTAATTAGTTCACGGAACAAATCAACATAAAACGTTTGAAGATGAAGTTAAGTTTGATCAGGCCATTTATATCATAGATGAGTCTATTTCAATGCATAGATTCATGTATCTATAAGTAGGTGAGTGGGATTAAATGTGATAGTTGTTGTGATTGAATAAGTTAATTTATACGTGCTTTTTTCTAGTATGTTGTTAAAAAGGCAAAATGTGAGGATGCGAATTTTCCAAGTTGGTTACTTAGTTAAGCTTTCTTTTTTCATTTTAAAAGCAACGAGATTTAACGATATATGAAGTGTTTTAGCTTCATATCTACCCATTTTAGAAATATCTGGATATATCTTATATCTTAATGGATGGTTGTTGAATATGGTATGAAACGATATTGTTGGCTGGACTAGTAAATGTTCTATTTCTACATAATTATTAAAGTTTTACGTTGTTTAGATTTTAATGGCCCTATATCTCACTCTAGTTAGATTGGACAAATGATCGTTATCGAATGATTGATGTCGAAATATACATCATAGCTACCCTCGTATATAATTATCGACTTAACTCGCGTTAGTGAATAACGGAATTAAATAAATCATATACGAGAATGGATTTTGAATATGTACATTTCATAGAATCGTTGATTCAGACAAATGATCAAAGAAAAGAAGCGAAGAAAGCGAATAGGAGAGGGTGAAGAAGGCGTGTAAGCTAACCTGTTTTAACCAAGCGTAACTCGATATTTATAGTCAGACAAAAATAGGTTACAGACATGTGGTGAGTCAGATAAGAAATGCACACACATATGCTTACATAAAAACAGTCAAGGTTGATAAGTGAATCAGTGACATAGTAAAAAATATGGCTTGAAAAAAATGAATAGATTGATCTGTCCAGAGGCTAGAATAAGCTATATAGGCTTGACATTGTACCAAGATGCCTAGAAAAAAAAGTGCCACAATGAATGCTATCTACTCTTTAAAAACAGTAAATGGAAACTTACCTTTTTTTATTCAAAACAAAACATTTCGAAATCTGTTAGCTTATTAACAAAATAATATAATTCTATATTGTTTTAAGATTTATTTCAGATATATTCTCTTAGAAAAAGGTTATAACAACTTGAAATACATGGCACTATTTATTCTCAATTGTTTTAGACTGATACTGGAGATTTGATGAAAATAAATTTAAGTATACTTTTGGAAAATAACCCAAAGTTAAAAAGAGAAATATCTGGAAAAAATAGGAAAATAAAGTAGTGATTCACAGACATTAGGGGCGAAAATTGTTTAAACCTAAATCAGTCAATTAGTTTTTACCAAAAATTGTTTTATTGGGGTAGGATCATGGATGCGCACTGACGAAGAGTGTCATACTATCACGAAATAGCCATCCAATGTTTCCGGGTTTTCAGTGGTGGTCTAACATTGATCAGTTCATAATCTAAATACAAAAATGATACGTTTAGTTAGTCATAATTCATATTGTATATAGGTTACAGTATGCAAAGGATAAGTCTATTTCTTTTTATGTGAGATACATGACTTTATATTAGAATAACAATAATTATTAAACATTATTCTACTTCTTGAAAATCTAATTTTTGGAGACTTATCTTCGTACTCCTGTTGTATATTTATGCTTGAGATATGTAAATTACAAATTAAGTGAAGATATAAAACAAAGCCGTTTTCGAGGGTATCTTTATACTAAGTCGATAAACGATATTGTTATTACGTAAAATACATCAAAAAATAGTGTTTTCTTTAAAAAATAATCATCGCATTACTTAATACAATACTTTTGATCAAAGTAAAGTTTTCTAAGCACAAATTATATAATATTAATAACATTTTCACATTTTAATACCAAAAAATCGAACTATAATGAATGTATGATAAGTTGTATGCTGCTTATAGAATGTACATGAGCCCAATCAGTTAATCAGTCATCATCAATATTAGTATATACTGTAATAATCTATAATTAATCAAATAATATAGATCTAAGGAATTGAACTTACTGTAATATTTACACAGTTTTGAATTATATTGATCCGAGATTTAAATCGATTGTACCCTTGATCTAATTTATTAGTTTTAGTCTTAAAAAGATAATCATTGGAACTGAAAAACTTTTTTATTGTTAACTTATTCGTATTAAGTGTACTGATAAGAAACAAAACAAACAATGGATAAGCAAAGATTGAATTTACAACCTAGTTTTCAACTGAATCTATATCTATCTTTATGGTTTACCTTTCAATTGGTCATGTGACCGTGTTGAACTGTTTAACTGAGTCAAATATGAGTTTAAACGAAATATTACATTATATATGTCACTATTAATTTGTTAGAGAATTTTTTAAAATCATTACCAGGTTAAATAAATCAATTGATATAATCTTAATCCAGCTTTTTAAAAAAAGCATTTTATTTTGTATGTCGAATGCAGTTTATTTTTAGGCTTTTTAATGTATCATACGGCGAGACTATAATTTTTGAACGAAACAATCAGATTGAAGTTGGCTGGTCTTGGATTTCAGCGCGAATTTCACTCACTCATTTGGCTAAATACCATTTCAGCGTTATGGCTGATGTCAGTTCGTGATGAAAACATTGAATCTAATTTCTAATTCTAAAGTTCAACTGTTAATCTTAATTCATCACATTAATTTATAACCCTCATTTAACCGTAGCAAGCAGGTGGACAATTTTAAGGTCATTTTAACCTTGCTTAAAGGTCGTTCATAAATTATAGTCTCACTGAGAAACCCTTCACTTTGTAAAATCCATACGTATTTAAACTGGAAATGTAAAGAAACTAGTTTTAAAAAAGTCATAATTAGTCAGGCTAAACATAATAATAATGTACAAAGTCATTGGGATTTACTGAGACGTCATATAATGCTAGCTAGCAAGGATCTTCTCATGTACAATAAAATCTCTGAAGTGCAAAGACTCGAAACCTGTATCAGCAACACAAACACATCCGTTTCTTTTAATCTTCGTATGAAACTTAGACTTTCATATTATTCTATACGCTTTCATTCTCTGATTACATTTGCTTTTAAACTACACTCTCAATGTTTAATTTTCTAATATGGTTGATATTACTTATTGACTCATTTTTTGCGCCTTGTTAATTTTCTCTCATCAAATTGATGTATAGCGCGATAATATGGAGCAAGTGTATATATTTCTGTTAGGTTCTATATTGTTTATTTGCTGTTCAAAGATGATGGCTGAAATTTATAACATTATTATCAATTAATCAAATGCGTTTCACGTATTTCATTCAACTAGAATTGGATTGCAATTAGACCTGACTAGGATGTTAGAATGTGATTGAATGCATTAACAAGTTGCATGTTTTACACTCAAATAACAGATGACTGTAATTCAATTTATATTTTCATAACACTAGGATTACATAGATTAAACTATAAAACATTGAATATGATGTCTGGAAGTCAATAGTTTGAATCTTTTCACATGTTTGGTCATAATTATCGCTGATTTATTATTGCTCACCATGTTATTAGGTTAATTATTTTTAAATGTTAATTTTAAGAATTACTTTCTAATTCAAAGAATATTCAGACTGTTGATAATTATCGATTTTTGTATTGGTCGTCTGAATCTTCCCATTGATGTTTACGACTTAGTCAGTCAGTCAGTAACAACGTACAACTTCGTACGCACGTACATCAGTTCGAGTTGCCACATCACGTTAGCACAGAGATGCAGTTGTCGATTCGAATCCCGTAGTGATAGAGGTAGTAAGAGTATAAGCAGTAATCGGAAAGATTAGAGATTAAAGATGTTATTCAAGGAGTTTAATCCAGTGAAATAAATATGGAAAGAAGAAAAAATGAAGGGACATGAAAAATTCAGAAGATTAGAACTTGGGAGAACATAAAGAGTGGATGCACCTGCGCCATTGCAAACGATTTTGAGCCATGTCATTCAAGGTCTCTAACCATCGGTTGCTATCATCTCGCGGTCCCCGACTCCAATTAATCAATCTCTTATTGGCGTGTGCACATTCTGTGCCGATTACCTTGATATCACCTTAAATCACAAGCATTATGTGCAGAAATGGATGGTGGCTAACAGTGAAATTCAGGACTTATATTTAGTCCTATTTGGGACTCGTAAGTTTGATGTACCTCCATCCGAGTTGGTGTTCACTCCGGGACTCAAACCTAGAGCCGTTCACTTCAGACGTCATCGTTTTTTCGTCTAGTTACTGAGTCCGAATAGCTACTATCATTTGAAATGGGGATGACGGGCTGATAATTATCATTTGAAAATATACACTATTTATATCATTTATCTGTTATTACTAAACTAATGGTTTGCTCAATAAATAGAAGTAAAGTAAACATAAAATCAGACTCAATATGATTTTATTTTTTTCGATCTTTTTTTATCAATAAAATACGGCAGTAACAATTTGTTGTCATTGTCATATGGTTTGTATATACCTAGATATGCATCTTTTCCAAAATCTCAAATATATATATATATTCTATTGTGTTGCGAGAAAAAACCTTAAATTTAGCAAAGAAGAAAACCTACAACAGGCAAAAAAATATCTAATCATAGTATAAATGCATTATTAATGTAATGTAATACAAATATCCAGTATATTTTTCACACGGTAAATAAGAACGAATAAAATATGATTTTCAAAAACTGTTAGTGATGTTAGTAGAAGTTTAAATTATGTTTATTTTAATTTGACCGTAGATAAACAAACTGAGGAAAAGAAATAATTGTATAACTGCATAGAATTATCAGGTTATTGATTAAAGTAACTAACTTATAAATTATTGAGTTCCTTAATCAAATCCTACTTTATTTAAACAATTTGGTAATAGTAATATCATAATTCATTAAACATATAAAATATGATTTGGTAACGAGTTTATAAACTTACTTACTTATTTAATAAATTACAATGATATTAACTGTATACTCTTAATTAAACCAATATATATTAGATAGGAAATGATTGACCAACATTAATTTTAATTTAATTAAAATGAACTATACGGTGGTTTATTTATATCTATCAATTTGATTATATTAGTTAATTGCTCCATATTCACAAATCCACTTTACATTCGGTAAAAAGGAACGCATCAAGCAAAAAAATTTCATTTCAATTAGTTTTCCATCATGACTCTACTTACTTACTTACTTACTTACCTAAGTCTGTCACTCCCAATGGAGTATAGGCCGCCGACCAGTACTTTCCAACCCACTCTGTCCTGGGCCTTCCTTTCCAGTTCTATCAGATTTTTGTTTATTTTTCTCATGTCTGTGTTGGTTGACAGTTGTTTTGAGTTTCAGATATTCTCCAGCTGAAAATATGCTACTCTTGCTTTACCGATCCGCGCCTTCACATCTGTATCAGATCCTCCGTGTTCATCAACGATGCTGCCTAGATATGTAAATGAATTTGCATCTTCCAAATCTTCTCCATAAAGTGTGATTCGATTGTTGAATGCTGTGATGTATCGGAGAATCATGCTATACACTAATATATATATATATATATATATATATATATATACATATATATATATATATATATATATATATATATATATATATATATATATATATATATATAGACAATAATGAAATAATACTCATCGAGTAGATACGTTACGTAATAATTACATGACATTTCGATTATAAATTAATATTCACTAATTGAAAGAAAGCGGATTAATAATAATCAAAGTAATTATTCGAAAACCAAGCAGTTGCTACGTTGTATAATATATAAAAAAAGAGAAGGTACTAACAAAAGATTTTGATGAATGCTTAGTAGTATAGTAGTTATGTACATTCGTTGCATCATGGTAAAAATAAATTAAAAGTCTTTAAAAACAATAATCATAATTTATTGAAAATAACCGCAAATTTTAACTATCAAACATGATATCGAAAATATTGAAATTTATAACTAACTGTAAGAATATTTTCGTCAATTTAAATTACAATTAAAGTGTAAACACTATCATTTTTAAACATAAAATATAGTTCTAGTTTTAATGCTCATGTAAGAAAGGAAACAAATTTAAAAGGAAATCCACAGATGACCTCATAATTTACGAAATATAAAACATCCTAGAAAGAAACTTTTATTTTTATAGACTAAATTACAATTCTAAGCAGAGATCAATGGCGGTTAGTTGTAGAATCCAGGACAGGCATTTCACTCCACTTAGCTACTGAGTTCATACAGCCACTAGCTTGTACAATGTTGTGATCTTTAATTTTAATTCACATATATTGGTTGTTTGGATATTTCTATTAATGTTTAGGACTTCACTTGATCAGTCTTATTTTGGCATATGTGCATCATCTGTGGACTGCCTTAATACTGCCAATAAATCCACCATCCATTTCTACTTATAATCTTTGTGACTTAAGGCAATATCTAAGCAATCTGCACAGGATGCACATATACCAATAAGAGACTAATCAATTGTAGTCCTAAACATCAATGAGAACATCCAAACATCCAATATACATGAATTAAAATTAAACTACCATTTATTAGATTTCTTAATTGATGAATAATGTAATCTTTTTCCAATAAAATTTCTTGCACTGATAGTAAAATTCAGGAATATTTTTTTATTGAACACTAATTATCATTTAACTAGAAAATTAAAAGTGTATGTGAATTTATAGAAAATATCTTAATAGATAAATGTAACTAGACTAATTCAGTAGTACATTGATGTTAATAGTACGTAGAGAATTTTTTATCAGATGAGGGTTTTGTGGAGACTTAAGTAATTTATTAGTTGAATTCATAAGTCAATGGAAAAACTTGGAAGCACTGAAATGGTTGAAGTTAGACAGATAGGTCCTGGGTTCGAATTTTGCTGGGCAGGGTCGTGAAGTCCCATACTAGAAAGAAATGATCGTCCAGTGCTTTCAGATTTTCCATGGTGATATAGATTCAATTGATTCATGAATTCAACTATTAAATTTTTTTTAATTGACTAGAAATATATCATTTCATTAAGTTTGTTCTGATTACTTTGATTAGAAATACAAAACATTCATAATTTTCTTTCTATTATAATTTTGCAAAACATTACTTGAACTGAATTAACTTTATTTCTTCATCATTATTTTACATGAATCAGGTACGTGTTACACATACAATTGATAGAACTGATGAAACAAAAGAAATTCGTCAACTCTCAGATGGAGATTGGTTTGGAGAAAGAGCATTATACACGTGAGTTTAATCCTTCGATGAAGCTAATCATTTTAATTATTATACAAGTGAAAAATGATTTTCGATTATTATTATTAAAATCTAATAATGTAATGAATAAAAAAATTATTTAAGTGAATTCAGACTGTATTGTTACCTACTAGAAAATTGATCAAATAAACAACAAATATTCAATATAGCTTCATAGAATAGAAAAAAGAATGAATAATAGCATTAAGATAAAATAAGTTAAATATAAATAAACCATACAATTAGTGAATAGGATCTCATCACGAAGTCAGCACATATAAAATTGAGATAACTATACATTTACTAAATCTAGGTACTTTATAATGTACTGAAACAAAAGTTACAAGTATGGAGATTATGTACATGATAATAATTGATTTAGAACGATCAGGTATTTAATAAATATAATTGAAAATAACGGGGTTAATAAAACATGTATTAGACGTACAAATAAAATTATTTTGTATACATATTAAATACTGCTTTATGGTCCATTTTCATTAATCTAAGATTATATATATATATATATATATATATATATATATATATATATATATATATTAACACCGTTGGATGCCGACTCAGTGTTCTAGAGTTTAAGCGTTCGTGAGCGAAACCGATAGGTCCTGGGCTCGAATCTCACGGGTCAGGATCGTGGATGCGTTCTGCTGAGAAGTTCCGCACTAGGACGAAATGACCGTCCAGTGATTCCAGGTCTTCCATGGTGCTCTAGATTTAATCGACTTATGAATTCAACTATTAAATCAATGTATATATATCTGCCGATGAACTATTAAAACTCTAAAACTTAGTTTAAATTTCCCGATGAATCACATTTTTATATTTGAATCATCAAAACGATTTGTGCTATTAATGTCTACATTATATGCAATTAATTCATGATTTTGATTCATGAATTAGAGAAAAAAAATCATTGAAAAATACAGAGACCGTGTAGTAGTTAGAGGACTTAGATTTTAACCGTGTTCAAGCCGTTCTCCAAATCTTTCGATTTATACACCTTGGTATCATCATAAACTCGGAAACACAAAGTATCACTAAAAGCTGGGTACATTAAATTGTATTCGGTAAATAAGTTAAAGTATATATAATAATAACATTTATCAAATTAAAACATTTATATTAATATATACCTTTAGTGGTATGACTTTAAATAAAACCTCACATGTTTTATACTGGTAGACATTATGAGTAGTTGAAAGCAACTAATATCAAATAGTAGCATATATCATTTCTTATAGCTATTTCATACTAAATAAAACAGTCATACTTTTTAGTTCAAATACAAAAAGTCCTAAAAAGTGTCACTAGTTATTAATTCAGTCACAGCATTTGAAGTATCTTTCTCTTTTTAAATCCGTACTGAAGTTGGAAATTGATATATCAATAAAGAATTCTATCACCAACATCGTTAATCTACTATTCGCCTTGATCGTGACAAAATAAATAAATTGTTTTGACATACGTTAAAAAGTTATCTAACTAATTGATGATATCTATAATGCAAGTATAACAGTTAGTGATAAATGTAATTTTATGTTTTTAGATGTGAAAAACGAAGTGCCAATGTAATATCTGCTGAAGGTGGTGTACATCTACTCTCATTGGATAGGAGGTAAATAGAAGTTTATAGAAACTTTTTGTTTATTATGTATATATACTGTACGAAGATTTCGAAAATCATTTTATTGCCTAACCATCTTATGTTAGTCATACTGGTGGATAACATTAAACAATAAATTACTAAGTTTTATATTTTGTCGGTTGTATTAGAAAATTCTACTATCATCCATAATAAAATTAAACTGACATTCTTTGTGCTATTATCCCATACCTATGCACAGTGAATAAAATGTAAATAAACAATAGTTTATTGTAGTTTATGATTATTTAAATTCTACCGTTGAACCATAATAATCCAATAGGTTTTTCTTGATTTCATTCCCTGTCATTATGTAGGGTCTAACTAAATTTTATCCGTCATTCTAACACTCTTTTGAAAGGTATCAAAGTAAAGTGAATTGAAGTATTACATATATAAATACTATGGGAAAAAGTACTACTTTGACTTCGTAGCGTACGCTTATTAGTTTAAATTTTTAAATGTTATTATGATCTCTATGATTTATTCAGTTGAATATTAATTTAAGTAAAGTCTTAATGAAATTATTTCCCAAATTTATCATTATGTTTTTATGTAAAACTCTAGATAAGTTTGTACATCTAGATTAGTTCAATATGGAAAAGATAGATTGATATTTCTGAGAAATTTTTGTTAACGTACTATCTTCTTTTACTAACCAACTGTTTGTTAAGTACTTCGTAAAAAAATATGCCTAACTCGTCATACATTGCTTGCAGGTGTACAGGTACGTTCGAAGAAAGCTAGGGGCCACTAAACTGAAATATGTATGAAGTCATTGAATATTGGTCTGAACCATCTAGATAGGTGCAGATTATCAGATTAGAGTCCTCGCAATAATTGTAATAAACGACCAGAGACTATGGGTGACATAGTTCAGAATCATTTTCATTGGTGCAGGCAAATTCACTGTTAAGCATCTCCTAGATTCTAGTCTTCTCAACTATTCTAAAAATAAATTTTTTTATTACCCCAGAAATTCATAATTTTTACTACTCACACATGCTTACTTTTTTATTTACTTACGCCTGTTACTCTCAATGGAGCACAGTTCGCCGACCAGCATTCTCCAACCCACTCTGTCTTGGGCCTTCTTCCCTAGTTCTATCCGATTGTTGTTCATTCTTCTCATGTCTGTCTCCATTTCTCGGAGTAATGTATTAGTGCAAATCCTTGTCTATGTGGAGCGTTTTCTTCTTCATGGCCAACGTATAACAGAAGCTCTCCTGAAACTAGTCTTTGTTGCCAAACCTGCGTCCAATATGTTTCACTGATTCCAAGCACCTCCAGGTTGTATCTTTTCATTTCTGCAGCAGTTTGAATAACTATCCCGGTTTCCCACATTGTGCGGACATTCCATGTACCTAAATTAATGGTTTCTCTGGTTGTCAGAAGGGTCATCAGCCTCGTGAATTCCGAAGGATCTCAGCTTTCACCATGAGGCGTCATAACTCTTCTAAATGAAAATCTTTTAACACCCAGGACAGAGTTTAAATGGTTTGGATTATTTTTTTCTGGTTAGCGTTTTTTTAGCGAGTTAGTTTTCTACGGGATGGGGTCGCTAATCCCTTTTCAAACTCTTCTCCTTTATCCTGGCTTGGGACTGGCAGTAGTCCCAGAGGGGCTCCAGGCGGAGTTACTACTTATACTGTTACTGCATTTAGCTAAGTGACTAAATTAAAAATAGAAACACTAACAATTACACTTGAAATTAATTCTAGTTTAGAATAATCACCTATTAATGATTTAGTAAACCCAACTAATAACACCAAATAAAATGTTCTTTCTAATTCAAAATCGAATAATCTCTAGTATCTAATATGTGTTACCATTACCCAATAAAATCCTTTATTTATTTATTTTTAAAAAGAAAGACAACAAAGAAAAGTGATTCCTTTCTCCTATTTTTTTTCTTTTCTTTATAGTAATTTTATTTATTTAATTGGTGATTTAAATGAATTTAAATCTAAAACGTATGATGATATTAATCGTCCAGCCACTGGGTAAATAAAATTCTTTCTATCCTATAATGTTAAATGTTATTTTGGTAAATTGTTTAAACGAATTTCTTTTTTTTTAAAAAGTTAAATATATGTAAATTGGCAATTGGTGTAGTGCTTATTGATTATTTTTAATGATAACCAATATCGTTTTGTCATCTTATTTCATTGTTAGTATCTGTTGATTGAATAATATCGATCTATTTGTAAAAGATAATCATTCATCTAAATGACATAATATTATGATGTATTACAATTGATGTTAAATGATTATAGTTAGTTTTATAGAAATATTCTATTGTTTAATGAGAATTTTATATGACTGATCAGTTTTGTATGATTTATGATTTTTTTAAAAATTTACAGATCAATCGAATTGTAGGTATACACAATTCTATCGGATAAATACTAATATTATGAATTGAATCTGTTTTTAGACTTAACTAGATTTATATTTATTATAAGATCTAGCACAATAATAATGGTATAAGGTAGTTGCCCATTGAAGACCATGTAAGATGATTTCACAATATTGAGATTTAATTGAAATTAGATATGTAAACTAGTGGTTTGTAGATTAAACACCTACTTTTAGATCTAAACTTTTTATGTTCAAATCATGATGGGGTTGTGAATGCTCACTACTAAAGAGTTTCTTACTAGGACGAAACAATTGTTTTATACTGTCTGGCATACATCCTTTGAAAACATTCCAGCATTCATTTTATTGCATATCTTTACATCATAACTTTTATGCTTGCTAAATTTTATTGAGTTTTTTTATTCCGTTTTTTAATTCAACGTCTGTTTGACGCTTCCTTCGAATTTTAGATGGTCTATTTAGCTCCCGACGTTAATTAATTGTCATGATGAAGAAGATTTGTAGCTTAGATGAATGATTTTGATGGAGTTTTGTTCTCTGAGCTGGATAGTTTGGTCGTAGGAATTTTGGACAAATATAGAACCAAAAATCAAACTAATTGAAGACAAAACCAAAATAAAGAAGTAAACGATGACAGGTTTAGGGTCAAAAATAACCAAATAACATCGAGGTCTACAGGACATTCTGTGAACCATATATGGAGAAATTCGAACACTTCACTTCAACCTGAAGTTTATGCTGGTGATGTCGTTCAGAATAACGATGAAAGCTCCACGACCAAACTATCCAGCTCAGAGAACAAAACTCCATCACAGTTAGTTATCATACCTGCCGATATCTATTTACATATTATGTCTATCTGACTGATCATTTCATACTTAAAGAATGTTCACTACTTCTATTAAACATCGTTCACTCACCCACAGTCACTCATTCATTCTCTCTCCAAAATTCTATGCTGATCTCTAGAGATTAGTCATTTACTTCTTCGAACAATGAGAAATTTGAGACATATTTTAAGAGTATTTGCAATATTTAACTGGACACAAATTCTCACATATTCGGTTCAATATATTACTAATGAATGAAGGTTAGTATATCGTTTTAACTGAAGATTACTTTCAGATATCTTGTAACAAATTGATTTAACTGATCTATTAAATTTAAGTACCAGATTATATTTCATATTTGATAAAAATTCTGTAGAGGTTGAATAACAAAATTAGTAAGCTTTAAGTGATCTATTTAAATCACTATGTAAATTTACTGAACCATAATAAGAAGTATTCATATTTTATTCATATATTATTTAATATTAAAACATATTTTTCTTAATCCGTATGATAAATTTACTTCATTATCCTGTCAATAATATCAAATAATAATTTCCCTTGATATTTGTATAATTGTCGTTAATTGATTTACCCTAATCTATAGAATTCACTGTTTTTTTTACCTGGTTTCTCTAATCTCACATATTTATCTTAACTTTTCATGATAAAGTACCTGTATAAGGTGGTGTATGTTTTTATTTATATTACATAGAATAATATCAATAAATTATCAACAATCAGAAGGATATTTAAATAAAGAAGAGACTGTTAGTACCCCACAAACTCTTGAACAACGAGAATCAAGGGATTCTTCCTCTTTAGCTAAAATCGACAAAGATGATTTAGAACGAATCACAGTTCTAGGTGTTGGAGGGTTCGGATGTGTCGAATTGGTAAATTTATTATGATAATATCGTATCATATTTTGTATACAAAATTTAACATTTTAACATTTATATTTTCTGATTTACTATGTATATTTATAAAGTGTTGAACATGTATGTTCATTATAAGCAAAGGTGGACAGTGGCTAGCAGTGGAATCCAGGACGCGCGTTTCGTCCTATTTGGGACTCGTCAGTTGCACGTGCCTGCATCTCAGAGTTGATGTTCACTCCGGGACTCCAACCCAGTACCGTCCGCTTCAAACGCCATCGCGTTATCACTTAGCTACCAGGACTCAGTAGCTAAGTGGATAACGCGATGGCGTTTGAAGCGGACGGTACTGGGTTCGAGTCCCGGAGTGAACATCAACTCTGAGATGCAGGCACGTGCAACTGACGAGTCCCAAATAGGACGAAACGCGCGTCCTGGATCCCACTGCTAGCCACTATCCATCTTTGCTTATAATGCTTGTAAATTGAGGCAATATCGAGGCATACGCACAGTATGCAAATATGCCAATAAGAGACTGATCAATTGCAGTCCTAAACATCAATGGGAAGATTCAAGTAAAACAATATCAAGTGAATTAAACTTCACCCTATTGCACAAGCAAGTGGCTATCAGGACTCAGTAGCTAAGTGGATAACGCGATGGCGTTTGAAGCGGACGGTACTGGGTTCGAGTCCCGGAGTGAACATCAACTCTGAGATGCAGGCACGTGCAACTGACGAGTCCCAAATAGGACGAAACGCGCGTCCTGGATTCCACTGCTAGCCACTGTCCACCTTTGCTTATAATGCTTGTAAATTAAGGCAATATCGAAGCATACGCACAGTATGCACATATGCTAATAAGAGACTGAACAATTTCAGTCCTAAACATCAATGGGAAGATTCAAATCAATAAAAAAATGTATGTTAATTGTTTGAGCGTTCAAGACAAAATACTAGATTATATTATTCGGGACTTTTGTTATTTGTACGTGAAGATCGGTATTTTACCATAGATTCATTTTGCTTTCAATATCTTTGAGTCATTCTCCTATACTTCTTAAGATGCTATGCTTCAATTAAATGTTGGATTTTTCATCAATTCTGTCATATAAAGCTACGTGTGACTGTCCTTTTTATGCAATTACTTAATCAAATGTTTCCTCAAATGATTTCTAATATAAATTTAGAATTACATAGATAACTTTGAGCAGGTTACACTAGATCGATGAACATCATATTCAATGTCTCATCATATTTAATCCCTAATTACTTCAAGCCCGGACTGTTCCATACGGTCGTATGTGGTTGATAGATGTTAAGTCAGTAAATAGAGTAAACAGTCTCATGTATGAAAGAGCACATTATAACACTACAATTACAGAAGAAATCTAGTATGGGCCAAAGTCCACTGAGATAATCCCTAAGCATTTAAATTTAATCCATAAAATAAGCTCTCAATTTAGTTAGAGCACTCTAAACTTTTAAAGTGATTTTCCAATCATGTCTTAACTACAGAATCATTTGACTAAATAATATGATGGCAGTGAATATCGTTTAAATTTTTTTCTTCGTTACATGCTCACATTTCTTTTGTGACATGAGTATTGGGTTCGGTTGGGCTTACGGTAATTTATAAGTACGAACAATTATAATTATTGTACTGTGAACAGAATTAATTGTGAAATGATGGTACCACAAAATTGATATACAACATTTCACCATTAATTCTAAATGGCCAAGAAATACAGGAGGAAGCTTGGATTTTAAGTAAACGTGATACTCAGGAAAACACTTGAAGTATAACAACTTTATATACATAGTAACAAAACATGATATTAGAATATAATAAAGTTAACAAACTTACAATAAAAGCAATCGATTAGCTAACATTAAACGTTAGTACAGAAATAGGAACCAGAAGAATGTTATCAAGGTTATCTTTCAAACAAATGGATTAACATTAAGTAACAAAAAAATCACATAACTTGAAATTTCCCTAGCGATCGCATACTGTATATAGACTATTTAATTATATAATTATCAAGACAGTATATTTTATTTATTATATTTTATTAAGGTTGTTTGGACGAAAAACAGAAATAAAACATTTGCATTAAAACGTATGAAAAAACAGCATATCGTACATACACGTCAACAAGAGCACATTTGTTCAGAAAGACAAATAATGTTAGAACTTCGATGTCCATTTATTTGTCGGTAAGTATATATAAATTTTAATTTATAAGAAATTTTATCATATTTTGTTTATACTAGAGAATTTCTTTAATAAAATGAATACAAGCATTTATTTAATAGTTAGTATCTTTTAATTTTTACCATATATTTGATTCATAATAATAATAATAACAATAATAATAATAATAATAATAGGGAACTTTCTGTTCTCTAATTATCCTTTGAAAAATATGTTTTATTTGAATGATTGAAACAAAATCGATACTGATCACTTTACAGTCATAAAAGTCAATCAAATAGTGTTGGTTTATCAGGGGTGTTATAACTTGTGACCTGTGTGCCCTGTTAATGGATAAGTAATGATACCACCAATTAGGGAGCAGTGACTTATCGATCGAACCAATGACGCGTAAACCCGTATGAGCAGCCTAGAGTCCTGATTGGTCCTACTTTCCACCTAGCCCAGCCAGTTGAGTCCAGAACACCAATCTCAGCCTCTGCAATATGAATCATGTATTTCAAATATACGAGGTTTATATACCAATCAAACAGACCACAACGTACGATAAAATAGAAAATAACATTTGTACAAGATTTGGTCAAAAGTGTCTGTGAATGAGGGAGGTAGTGATTAATAGACAGGGAATAATTCAAGAATGGAAAATCGTTTAATAACAGTTCATGGGTTAAAATAAAGCTTATAATAAGAGAGACATGAATATGAGTAGTTTAGTTAATTAACAATTATACGACAAAAATATACGTATAGTATTGGTCCACAAACGGATCCCAAAGTTACCATTCATTATGCTTATCGAGACCTAGCAAGGGGGTAAGTTTTTGCAAATCTTTTAAATAACGTAATTACAACTGGATTATTATTTAAATAGAACGTTAGGCTTTTCAAAACTAGTTTATAGAATTTCATCCAGAATATGAATAAAACATTCCTAAAAAAACATTGACTTATTTTAATATTTGTCGATAATCTTTTAATTTCAGTCAATAAATAAGTTATCAGCATAGGGTTGCGGAGATTTTTAAGTTGTTGGTTGATATCTTGAATCGATTGATCTTAGACCACCATTGAAAACCTGGAAGCACTGGACGGCCGTTTCGCCCTATTGTGGGACTCCTCAGCAGAGACAGGTATCTACCACAGACAATGGAAAATGTTCGCGCAATTTCGTGTATTGGTTGGGGTTAGACATTAACAGCGTTGGATACCGGCTCAGTGGTCAAGTAGGTTAAGCGTTCTCACGCTAGACCGAAGGCCCTGAGTTCGAGTCCCGCGAGCGGTATCGTGGGTGCGCACTGTTGAGTCCTACAATAGGACAAAACGGCCTTCCAGTGCTTTTAGGTTTTCAGTGGTGGTCTAGCATTAATCTATTCATGATCCCAATCAAAAATAGTATTACTTCTTTAAGAATAATTCATATAGATACTGATAAAAAATATTATGTAGTGATTTTTCTGAAATCCAATCTTTCAGTGAGAGGGTTAAAATGAGGATTTTAATTAATAATTTATTTTTAAGGTCAAGATACTAACTATTTTCCTTTGAGATTTAAACTAAAATCATATTAATTCAATTAAAATTAAGATAGTGTATATGGAATATAACGAAATAACTATGGGCTATGTTTAGAGAGAGAGAAAAAAACATACTAAGTAGGCGAAATAATGATTAATTAACAATTTGCTTCTCTCTTGGTTTCAAACCAAAATGTACCAGTACTTTTCTTTCGTAATTGACCAATCTACCCAAGTGTATGATAACTGGAATTTCTTGTTTTCAATATATATGGTATAAATGATAAAAACAGCTTACTTTCTTTACTAAAGCAAAAATAGTCTTTAAAAGCTTTCTTAGTATGATGTTCCATATTGAATTGATACAAACAAATACGATGTATTTGAAAAATACAATAAGAACTAACTAGAATTGTGCAGAGAACATTAAAAAAATATTGTGACACAAAAATCATCCCTATAGAAGTGAATATATTAATATCAATAATATTAGGGTAAAGAAAATAATTGACGACTGAACTATTTGTTAACGTACAGTAATTCACTGCCTGTTAACAATAAGTCAAGACTGTAAGATATGTATTAATTTTAACTTGGTTTTTCCACGGTTAGGATTGTGATTTTATCAGGAGAAAATTTTTTTTCATTTGTTGACATCTACTAGGTAGATACAGGGATATATGCTGATTGACCGTGAATATCCAATGTCAAAAAAACGTAGTTTAATGATCATATTACTTGGCATAACTAACATCTTGAATATGGACTACTTATCATTTGTTAAAGTGCTCACATAACAAAGGATGTGTCAGACAATATAACATCTTAGAAAATTAGGCATTTCTGATTAATTTCATTATATGAAGTAACTTGATAATCATTTAACTGTATAATCAAATCTGACTTTTAGCGATAAAATCATTTAAAAAATTCTGTCCCAGAATCTTAGTAACACTAACCGAACCGTCTTCACTAATGATCACAGATAAAACAACAAACGTAAGTCATATTACAAGTGGATTTTGTTTAAGAACTGATAGGTCCTGGATCATGGATGTGCACTGCTGAGGAGTCCCATACTAGGACAAAACGGCCATCCAGTGTTTCCAGGTTTTCCATGGTGATCTAGCGTAAATTGACTAGTGACTTAAACTATTGAAATTACTAAAATCTCCACAAAACTCCTTCTGATAATAATCATCCGCTCACTAGTGACTGACTTCAACAGACATTTCCTGGAGTTCTAGTGAGAAGCCGTTACCAGTGGAGTTCAGCCAGGTCTGTTATGAGATATCAACTAACTGAAGACAATAGTTTACGGTGGCGCAATTTCGTGGATTGCTTGAAGTTAGGCAGTATCACCGTTGGATGCCATCCAGTTCAGTGGTCTAGAGGTTAAGTGTTCGTGTAGGAGACCGATAGGTCATGGGTTCGAATCTCGCGAGGGGAGGCTGGATCATGGATGCGCACTACTGAGGGGTCTCATACTAGGACGAAACGGCCTTCCAGTGCTTCCAGGCTTTCCATGGTGGTCTAGCTTCAATTGACTCATGATTTCAACTATTGGAATCAATAATTACTGAAATTAGATTGTGCAAGTTTTAATGTGTCGTTTTATTTTATTTTTCCTGATATTTAATAAGTTAGTTTTAGTTTTAAAATAGAATGTTTAAAAGTGCTCCTGAACTACTGGAAATTTTCTGAAATAAAATGTCCAGAAAATTGAATTTATTCATTCAGTTGATTTGCACTGGTAAAAAATTATAGGTTATAATAGATTAACATTGTTATTTATTGATGACATCAATGTGTTTCATTGTTGTCCCATGCATTACAAACAAGCTTTCTTGTAACATATCTCAATATTATATAGACAATTTTATATTTATTATTTATATATTTTCAATGTTGAATGTTTCTAATCTTTGTTCATAGTTTCCTTTTACTTTCTTTTATTATTTTAGACTTTACTGCACATATAAAGATAATAAATTTGTATACATGCTGTTGGAAGCTTGCTTAGGTGGTGAATTATGGACAGTTTTACGAAATAGGTGAGTAAATATTTTGTTAAATTTATCATCTTTATGAGTTAATATCTCTTTTATAACAGATAATGCTATATATATATATATATATATAGACTATATATATATATATATATATATAGTCTATTCGTAATCAGTGGTAGGCTTTTTTCGTCTTTTAGTTCAGATTGCATTCTGTCGACCAAGTTGCAATGTAGCCATCAATCTGGATGACTCTACACTGCTTATATTATATTTGATTTTAGGCGGTTTTATGTAATGTCTCAGACTGTATGGCTAAGTGATATAAGCTCGAATGTGGTATGGGAAATCAGTTCCGTCAAGACTACAGACATACTTTTCTGATGAGTGTCAACGAACACAAAACCTTGGTTTAGGGTTTCCTACTGAATGACTTCAGATACATAACACTAAAATATAGAGCATGTCATATTTCGTCATTTAGAATACTGGCTTCACTGAAACTTGGGCTATGGAATTAGATTAGTACTACAGAGCAGACTATTCGGCGATCAAGCGACCTATATATACACATTTATTTCTAGCGTCTTGTTAAATAGTAGTCCATTTGAAGTTAAATTTTATCATGGGTTATTTGTAGATAAGAAGTTATTAAAAGGTAGTGAATACTAGGTTAACTCGATGATTTTTTCGAAAGTGAGGCAGTAGTAGTTACCCACCGACATCATTAGATGATGATACTATATTACAAATTAGTTGATGCTGAAAATATAATCCGTTGAATTTCAACTCGGTATAATTAATGTTAGATTAAAACAATTTTTATTTGATAATTCATCTGATTATGACCAGTGTTGTTCTATCACTAATTAGACATTATATGAAAAGTTCACAGTAGGTTATATATGAAAACATTGTGAAAAGAATATTTAGTGTTAATAATTACTAAGAGTACACATTTATTTGATAGAATCAATTATTAACTAACTGATTACTTTTAATTGATTTGATAATGCACAATTCAAAGAAGAAAATAGGCGATAAAAATGTAGGTGAAGGTCAAATAAGATATTTGTTACTTTTTGTATCACAACAGATGGGAATGTATTTAGATTATTACGAATCATCATTGTGATCTACCATTAAAAGTTTAGAAATAACAAATTCATGTAAGAACAATCGTCTAAATTTAATCAGATTGCTTCACAGCATTTGAACGTCGAGTTGATGTGACATATTAAGGAGGGAGAATGTATTTGTAAAATTTCAGAGAATGAATTTCAAGTACATTCAACATTTCACTTGACAATCTGGTTCAAGCTTTTCAACGAAATATAATCAAACATCACGATTATCAAATATAAATAAATATATAGTTCTCTGGTTTACTGTATACTAAATAAGTTAGCCAATCACGTAGACAATGTTTAAAGTAGGAATTCGCTTTAATGTGTATGAGACATGTGATGTGAAACGAGAAGTATGTTAAAATAATAGATTGTTTATATTGTATGTAAGTGGATCTGAGGTGTAAGAAGAAATTTCATTCACTATCTATCGCCTCAATAATTCATAATCTTCTAATAAAGCAATAAATAATAAAATACTGATGAAAGATACTGACTACTAAAAACGTATAAAATGTTTTGACTAAGTTCAATCTGAATATATGTTAGAGACATTTATTTTAATATTGCAGAAATGATGCTGAAAATTATGTACTTTAAAGGAATTTCTAGTATTGTGTAAAGGTATTACTACTATTTCTAATACATCTACATGTGATCTCATTGAAAAATAGTTTTTCAAGATTACGCTTTCATATGAATGTAAAATAAGGAAAAAGCTTTGTTTCACAAATCAGTGATTCTCTAAACTGTTGATTATTAACTCTATTCGCGGATTGGTTGATGTTCGAGATTAATACCGTTGGATGCGCACGAGACTTATAGGTCGTGGGTTCGAATCTCGCGGGGCGGGACAGTGGACGCGCACTACTGAGAAGTTTCATACTAGGATGAAACAGCCGTCCACTGCTTCCAGGTTTTCCATGGTGGTCTAGCTTCAATTGATTCGTGAATTCAATTATTAAACTCTATTTTGCTCAATAATGATTTTATAAAGCGTGTTTTGCTCATTTTGATTCAATGTTCACTTTGACTATTTTGCCAAATTTAACGTAGATTATTCGTCAAGTAAATTACCAATAATTCATTTGAGGTAATATACTTTGATGAGTCTAATTGACAAAAAGTAGTAATAGTAATATTTCAAAAGAAGGTCATTATGGTACACTTTACTTTGTCTTTTAGTTCGTAATACTTCATTCTTTTAGCGATGATACTAAATTAACCCAAAATAATATTCAGAAAAATAAAATCAATTTACTATATCTTTCAAATAAGAAAAATAAGTTTTTCATCTTTCTGTTGGTTTCGAAATGTTATTGAGATTACAAATCAAACTAACTTGGGTAAACATCGGAAACTAGGAAGCACTGGATAGCTGTTTCATCCTATTATGGAACTCCTGAATAGTGTGGATCCACCATCTAGCCACCGGATGTAGAATCCATAACCTTCATCTCCCGAATCGACAGTTTAGCCGTCAGACCATTAAACAGGCACTTGATGGTTTACATGTGTAAATTCAATCAATCCACGGTATAGTGCAACGATCTTCCATTATCTTTGGTGGATAACTGCCTCACATTCGATACGGTTAAACTACACTGGTCATGGGTGTTCAACAGAGCTCTAAGAATTACCTCGTGATATTAGTTACTAGCTAGCATTTGATAATAGTTACTCTTATACTTATTTTAGGATCCCCACTCAAATTTCGTGTTTAATATTTTATAAATGAGAAAGAGTAACGAATAAAGTGAGAGATGCTAATGGAATACCATATTATTTATAAATCAACTTTACTTAACATTAATAATTGTGGAATTACAGTACTTAATGTCAAGTAATTATTTCGTGAATTTTACTTTCTAGGGCGATGAGAATTAGTGATTACTCTTATAGCTGGACTGATTACTGAAGCAAATTATATCAATTTATATGTTTTATGGGTAAAATGTTCAAGATAGAAGGTCTTTCTACGACTGTAAACAGAATGTTTTATTTGTTATTTCTAAGAATAAAACATGAATAGTATACCAATACTGGATCGTTTCGAACACAAAGTAAATAACTTATTATATGTTTAGGGAAATAAATGAACGTGTTTATGTCATCCTGTACGATTAACAAGTCTTTTGTGACTAACATCTGCCCTTTGCTCAGTCTTTTTGCCATCACTTGTAAACTTGACACTTGCGTAAACAACTTGTTATATTAATCAGTTTCCTAGAAGTAATCATTGTCATTATTATCGAGTTCCTAGTTTTAACGTAACTCTACTGTTTTACATTATTGTAATCAAACGTATGATTCAAATCTCATAGAAGCGTAGTTCTAGGCTGAATAACTTACTAACACTATCTCTATTTACATCATTTTATGGATTGAGTTCAAATAATTTCTAGGACCTTGTTGATAATTAATATCACCTAGCATAAATGTACCAAACAGGGATTTTTGTCAATTGTATTTATCTTAAAGATGATCTACTGAAAATATATAAACATGCAATTTAAAAAATGGTTCCTCTTTTTTTAACTTTTCAAGAGGTCGATTTGATGATGTCATGACGCGTTTTGTGGTTGCTTGTGTTTTGGAAGCGTTCACTTACTTACACACACAAGGCATATTATATAGAGATTTAAAACCAGAAAATTTACTTCTTGATCATAAAGGTTATGTGAAATTAGTAAGTCTTTCATTTTTAATTGAATTTATGTACCAAATGAATGATGTAGTTAATAATGTCACATTTTTGTTTCTTAACTTTCATAATCAGTTTTACCGAATATATCTTATACTGTATTTAGTTTGATGATACATTCTAACAAATAGGAAAGTATCAAGAGGAATTTTGTGGATATCATAGTAATTTCAATACTTGAGATCATGAGTTAATTGAAGCTAGACCACCATGGAAAACGTGGAAGCACTAAACGGCCATTTCGTCTCATCATAGGACTCCCCAGCAATGCGCATCCACGATCCCGCCCTCCCTCGCGAGACTCGAACCCACGACCTATTAGTCTCGCGCACGAACACTTAACCTCTAGTCCACTGAGCCAGCATCCAACGGTGTTAATGTCTAACTCCAACTAATCCACGAAATTGATCGATACATAGAAAAGTCATCATTCTAGTGGATAACCAGACAAATCAAGAGTTCGAATAAATTGGTATCACTATTCAAATCGATTTATAATATTCTTAGAAATTATTAAGATGAAATCAAAATATTGGATACGTAGTGTAAACAAAATGATTTTTAAATTAAATGGATAAACATACTTGTAATGTTGTACTATTTAGTGAAAGTAGGTTTTATCAGTAAATTGATAATTCTTATATTTAACTTACTGTAAATTAGAAATTCGCAAGGTGATTATTTTCATTTTAAAGTCCATAGTAATCAGGGTAAACTAGTTTGTATTTTAATCAACTTATCATGTATATATTAATGCAGTTAGTTCTGACTCATCGTTTTTTTTTGTGGGTTAGAGATAATACTAATCTGTTGAAACTTAAATAGGCGAAACCAGTTCTGAATTTACAATCTGTTCGTTGAAATTTGAGTGTTCAAACTAATTAACTACCACTAACTCAATATGTGGATACAATCTATGTAGACGTCGACGGAGTACTATACTTAATGGTGCCAAGAGCATCATAGAGACTAGTTATTCCAATCTATCAGCCTCTGAAGATTATTTCTAATTCTTAAATTTTACCTTCAAATTGAATTAAAACTAGACTGATACTTGTCAGAACATATGGCTACTTTTCGCTTTTGCTAATAACATATTTACCCGTAATGATATCCGATGAATAAATGTTGGAGGTTATACGATTCACTACAATTTATTTCTATTTTCGTCATTTGTAATTACCTTTCTAAATAAATCCGCACTAGGATAGTGTAAAGAATTAGGGCTATAAGTTAAAACTGGAGGTTAAGGTTAGGAATTCGAGTTAGGGTTTTCAACACAAACTGATATCAACTATAATGCCAAAATGTTATTTAATCATATTTATAATTGAATTTCGTGCCAAAATTCAACACCTACTGTCTCAATCCTGATTGGTTCGTTCATATATTATAGTCTCATCGATTTCTTAGTTAATAATATTCGTATTTAGGTAGTTGTATTGATCTATAATACTCTATAATACTCCGACCCTTGAATTGATCAGGAGTTTGTCTAAAGATTAATCACTGTCTGGTAAGCAGTCGACATCAAGTTCATTCCATTTATTTATATACAGTTGTAAATACTTATTTAAATATGGGAAATGTAATTATCATTCAATCTAAGGGTAGTTTGTTCGATCTGGATGACTATTTTGAGTGTATACTTATACGACATTTCAGAATAGAAGAAAGTAATCGACCAATAATTTTTATTTCTCAGTATTTAATCAACCAATGATTATGCTTGATCAGTACTTTTTGGATATAAATGAACTAATCAATTGTTAGAATTCTTTCCAATTTTATAGTATGAATTAAATTAGATTTCCACTGAAACTAATCATTAATTAATTAATTAGGCGCCATTATTAAAATCAAATTAATTAAACAACAGAATATCCAACGAACATTTTTTTCATAGTTTAATTTCACTATTTAAAATATATTTTGTGATAGTTATGTTTGTTATAAAACAATCTTGTATTCAATTATTTTACACATTTTTATCAATTAAATCAATCCTAATGCCCCTGGTGAAAATGATCAATTATGACTGAGATAAAATTTCTAATTTCTCTGTCAAAATTCAGTAAACTTAAATAATCTTGACAAAATTTTTTTCCTTAATAATTTGATCGATCATTGCACAATTTATCGCACATATATTTTTCAGTTAAATTACATTTAATGCAACTGAATTGTTTTCTATGTATAAATGAACTGAAGGAAAAAGTAATAATAATAATAGTAATAGTAATAATAATGCTGTAAATAAAGGTAAATTCATCAAAATTGATAAGTCTTGCTAATTGAACGCTATATTCGGTTCCTAAGCTATACTCGTAACCCCCAAGCTAAAACTACACAGCGACCTAAACACAAGAGAAAAGGCGCAAAATATACGAGAAGCACTTTACTCCAAAGGTTCGTTCTTGTACAGAATTCGTTAAATCAACATTAGATTTAAGGCCCTCTGGAGGCTCCATTGTAGTTCTCGGAAGCTGACTCAACAAAAATAACTTAAAAATTGTTTCATTCATCTTAAAATGAAGATGATAAACCTCGAAAATAAACATATAAAAGTAAGTGAATGAGCTCAATCTCACTCTCTTTCTCTCACTCTGTGAGTTCGAGTGTGTTTGTGTGTGCCCCTTTTGTTCAATTAGTTTCATCTGAAAATCAATAATGAGTAGTAAATCGGCAGGGAGAATCAAATAACTAAAACGTTTTTTTTTGACAAAAGTATTAAATAAATATCATTAAAAAAATTGATTTCATTATTTGTGTTAAATGTAGAGAACAAATATAGATGGTTTATTATGATAGTTAAACACCAATCAAATAAGCAGAGATGAATGATAGCTAGCAGTGGAATCCAGGAAGTGCATTTCGTCCTATTTGGAACTTTTCAGCTGAATGTACCTGCATCCAAGAGATGATGTTTACTCCGGGAATTCAACCCGGTATTGTTCACTTGAAACGCTATCGCGTTATCCACTTAGCTACCGAGTTCATATAGTCACTAGCTTGTACGATAAGTCAATCTGTATACGGAAATTTAAAATGTATCCATTTCTTGCTTAATATTTTACAAAACTCTATTTAATAGTACAATAAAATGACCAATCATGTAATGTAATACATAAATAATCAGTTTTAGAATATTTTAAACTAATTTCTTCAGGTTATATCAAACTGTGTTGTAAAACGAAGTAGTTTTGAATATTTTGCATTTTGTTTTTATAAATGCCCTGGCACGGCCGAGGGTGGGGAGATTCAGCTCTCCCCTCTCGAAATGCTCTCACATGGCCACTTGCATACAACCATTGCTAGGGAAGTTCTCACTTCATCCTCGCGGCGGGGATGTTGGTTACGATATTGAAAGAACGAAAAGCGAATGTTCGTCGCTTTAACCGGGCTAGTCGATACGGAGGATCCACCTACGGGTATTGAGAAACCCTGATTCCAAACCAACGGTGCATATAGGCTCCAGAATCCTGAGGGAACAAATGGCGTATAAACCCATTGTTGGTAACCAGCTACCATGGGACTGCGTCTACTAACGTTGCTCTACTGTCTTGTGGATTAGAACTGTAGGTCAAAGTCTTGGGATGTGTCTCCCTGAAGAAACCACCTGCTTCGGTCTGGGCGCACGGGCTGCATCATAGCCCACACACAAATCAGGTGACTTGTTTGGAGCATATGTATTCAGTACCCCTTTATACCAATGTTTATATGTTTAAATATATAAATAGATAAAACACACTGATCCTGGAAGATATTGATATTTCCATTGAAATTCTGAAATAGCACATTAGGAAAGAAGTTAGCTGGATTTTAAATTTTGAATAAATTTATAAATAATGGAATACTGTATGTCAAATTGAATATCCCACATAATATATAGGCTTCTATAAGCGTCAAAGGTTTCTCTTATTCAATAGTTAGACATTATCTTTAAGAAAATATCTCTTTATGTTTGACAGGTGATTAAATAAAGCTCATACAAGTGATATATAATTAAAAAGTGACATTGTTCTGTAAGTATACTATCCGGATAATAAGACTGATATTTATTTGAATTCTATTTTCTCAGTTGAATACAAATAACTGCCGTTAGTGAACAGATAAATATAGACTTCATTCTTTGAAACTCACAACTGATTATTAACTAAGATAATAATTATCTTAATACTCCTGTTCGCGCTTCAACCACCTACTTTCAAATGTATAAATGTATTTAAATTACCGGTCTTGGCTTCCTCTGAATTCAATAAACATGAGTGCTAACTGTATGTACTTACGCACTATTACAAATGAGTTACACATTATTCCGAAGCTAAATACAAGAAAATACGGAAACACCACAGTTTGTGACATGATATCCTTTTCATTCATCCTTTGGATAAATCAGAGATAAATATATTGAAAATTAATATATATATAATATGCGTTACTAAATGTACCTGTTATGAACTATTTTAGTGTGACTTTGGATTCGCCAAACGAGTTGGGCATGGTAAAAAGACTTGGACATTTTGTGGCACACCTGAATATGTCGCACCGGAAATTATTTTAAATAAAGGACACGATAATTCTGCAGACTATTGGTCACTAGGTATTCTTATTTATGAATTACTTACGGGAAGGTAAACTTATTTTTGCTACGTATCAATACTCTATTAGTGTTAATTTACATGTTTTATTAATAAAGTTAAAAATTATTGTTACGTATCGGGCTTTACATGTTCGAGATTGATATAGGCAATGAAAAAACTAGGCATCGGGCTTATGTATGTCGACATAAGTAGTATGCAACACTAATCAGATGTGGAATGCCTGAAAGCAGACGGTTTGGGAGATCGAACTGAAGAGAACAGGAATGTAAACAGAAAGTAATTGTAATAGCAATGAAGGGACGATGAAGTTTCAGACAATTGGTGGGAGATTTGCAAATGAAGTATTTAATGTATGGTTTTTTCACATTTTACGAAAGAACTCTGTAATTTTGCATTTAATAATAAATTGGTTTTCCCCACCTGAGTTCACGTTCACTACAGTAGAATTAAAATAAAAGTGACTAATATATATACTATTATGCTCTTGTGTTGGGATTATCATCTATATATTTTCAGTTGCTTATACAGTTTACTTAGCAATTTTGTTTTGCAATATGCTAAGAACTACCTAGTTTTCCGACGGTAAGAAGAAATGAGACTAAACTAGAAGTGTGCATCCACGATCCCGCAAATGAGACTCGAACTTAGGCTCTTTGTCTCGCGCGAACGCTTAACTTCTAGACCACTGAACTGGGATCCAACAGTGTTTGTCGACCAACCCACGATATTGTGCTACCATCTTTCATTGTCATCAGTGAGTAACTGCCTCACAATTGACGTGATAATCATGAAATCCTTATAAGCTGTAAATGTGAAAATGATTTTCTGGAAAAAGAAGTGATTTCAATCAGGAATTAAAAACTGCAATAAAATATATTAGGGTTTAATGCTCATTTATACGGTTTTTCTCTTCTGTCTACCTACTATCAGCTAGTATATAATGAGTTATATTTGTTCTTGTTATGAAAGAATCCGTCAAATCAAAAAGTTTAACGTTACATTACCAGTATTTCACATTATATAAACTGATCATTTATTCAACATAATGTCGAGTTAGTTTCTTTGATGCTTCTTACCACAGTATACCATTTGTAATTCGATCTTGTCTAATTCTACAAAAATAGATTTTATTTCAGTATCACAAATAAGTGAATAGTTAGTATTAAGAATGGTTTAATCATAAACATTACACTGATATGTTAGGTGATTGAAGATAGTCTACAAGATACCGTAAACCTAGATTTTGTGCTGCTTGATACTTGTCAACAAGGCGCACTTATAATCTTGACAGATGTTTAAATATCAGTGCATTTTAACCAAAATGTCGTTTTTATTAAGTTGTGCTTTCATACAGTTTCTTTCAATTCGTAACAAACAAAGTACGTAATATCATTGCTTTTCATATGTATTCAGAAATATATTTATTTATCGCTTATTAAGATTCATACACTCATACTGATAACTAGACTGACACAGTTATTCCAAATGAAAGTTTACCTCGAAATATTCATACGTCAGTAGTATTCCAACAGATCAGCTTCAATGGTTACTTGTTTGTTGAATGTATCATTGAAAAAGAATATGATGTGACATATTTGATTTATATCATGTATAAAAATTGTATGTTTTCTTAAAAATTAACCGATCAGAGGCGATAACTAGTGAATCAAATTTCTTCTTACACGCAATACAAACAATCTATTATCTTAACATACTTCTCGTTTCACATCACATGTCTCATACACATTAAAGCAAATTCCTACTTTAAACATTGTCTACGTGATTGGCTAACTTATTTAGTATACAGTAAACCAGAGAACTATATATTTATTTATATTTGATAATCGTGATGTTTGATTATATTTCGTTGAAAAGCTTGAACCAGATTGTCAAGTGAAATGTTGAATGTACTTGAAATTCATTCTCTGAAATTTTACAAATACATTCTCCCTCCTTAATATGTCACATCAACTCGACGTTCAAATGCTGTGAAGCAATCTGATTAAATTTAGACGATATTTCTTATATATTACGATGTTGTTTTAATAATTAAATTCAGAAAATAACTGCTGCTATGAAGATAAACCTTCCTGAATCTCGACTCAGTAGTTTAGAGATACTACTGGTGATTCAAGGCTTAAAAATCATATAGTCTAAAGTCAACTGAAAAAACACTAGTTACCATAAATCCAAGAACAAATTAAGACTTATGAAGACAACAAATGACACAGAAAGCTATATAAATGAGCTGATGTAGTACTTGTGGAATAGCTGAGAATTCACTTCTACTTGAAATAAACACTGATCTAGTTGTTCAAAACAGTGATGAAACTTATATAGTTAAATCGTCTACCACAGAGAATTCAATATTATTAAAAACATTTAACTCAGCTGCATAACTTCTCTATCACTTAAAGATATGCGTCTAAATCAAGTTTATGATTGTAATAACTGTGAACTACTTACTACATATTTTTAAATGTTGTATTTGTCCTCATTTTTCGATACTTCGCTAATGTAATGCCAACTGGTGTGGAAAAAATTTTTTTCCAGTCCCTTGATTTATTATTTATTTACGCTTTTTTATGGTTAAAAAATCGATTTATGAAAAATAGACAATTCGGTTAGGCACATAGGCAGATAAACAGATATTTTTTGGATAATGTATTCTTAACACAAAGAATAATATTTCGAGCGTATATTTTACTTAAGCTATTTGTTATTACTTAATTTTTATCTGGTCACTTATTTAATGAATTATCATTCGTTGTATAAGTGAATTAATCTAAATTGTTTTTTGTTCTGTCAGTGTTTCATTGATTCTTTATTAGAGGATGACTTTTAAAATATGAAAAAAGCATCTCCAAAAGGCAATAAACCTTAACAGTCAACGCGTAAATTAACTACTTACTTATGCCTGTTATCCCTTGTGGAGGAGCATAGACCGCCCACCAACAGACTCCGTTAAACTCTGTCTTCGATAATCCTTTCCAGTTCTTCCCAATCGCTATTCATTCTTTTCATGTCTGCTTCCGATTCTCGACGAAGTGTGTTCTCTGGTCTTCCACCTTTTCATTTCTCTTGACGATTCTATGTTGGAACTTGACTCGTGATGCACTTTGATGATTTCCACAACGTATGTCGTATCCATCTCCAACGTGTTTTTCTAATTTCCTCTTCAACTGGAAACTGAATTGTTTTTCCCCATAGTGGGTTGTTGTTGATGGTATTCGGTCAACGGACAATGAGTATCTTGAGTAGACAATCATTTATAAATACTTCCACTTGTCATACGCGTTGAAGACGATGCAGCAACTTACTGGTGACATTGAACGAATATTGTATGTTATACCGCAAACTGAATGTAAAATTGAAAACGTTAACTAAAATATTGGTAGATGTACACTTCATATGTTCCTTTTTTGGAATCATAGGTGCTCACTGTAAATGAGGCCTGTGAACTAATGTAAAGACAGTTGTTTAGTGGCTTCTGGATTTCAATGAATCTCGATTTGTTTTCACTTCATTTTAGAAATTAGTTATAAAAGTAAGTATCTGAAATCTTTTCTAGTTTCAGGATTCGAAATCGCTTTCAATAATACTCACCATCAGTTGTGCAACTTGTGTTTTGATAATTGATAGTTTAATCACAAATTTTCTGATTCTCTGACTATTCTTCAACGATTTCATCTTTATCAAAATAGATTGTGAGGATAAAATCTTCGAACCTTCTATTTATATTTTGGCTGTTTAGTGATCAATTATTTGTAAACATCCCTGTCTTGCAGGAACTTATCCGTAACGTTTCAGACTATGAAGCTAAACGACGCTGATTAAAGCCTACACGGGGAGTCAGTTCCCTCCATATTAGAGATTGCTAATTAACACAAAACCTAGTTCCAATGTTTACTGCCTATTGTGTAAAATCAAAATGTAGTGCATAATACATCGAGTAATTTAGATCAGTAGTTAGTCAGATTTTAACTTGATCGATGGAATTCAATTAACAGTTAAGAGACCAGACAAATGTGAAATTAATCAATACTCAGTGGTCATCCAATTTTATAAACATTTTATACTTTAGTTTCTCTTTGAATAACGTTTTTTTCACTTGGATTATAGTCCGAAGGAGTGAAAAATTTTATTCCTTAGAAGAACAAAGACGTTTGCATTGCAATTTCTTAATTTTGAACATACTTACTTACTTAATTACGCCTGTTACCCCTAATGGAGCATAAGCCGCCGATCAGCACTCTCCAACCTACTCTGTCCTGGGCCTTCTTTTCTTGTTCCATCCAATTCTTGTTCATTTTTCTCATGTCTAGCTCCATTTCCCGGCGCAATGTGTTCTTTGGTCTTCCTCTCCTCCTTCGACCTTGAGGATTCCATGTGAGGACTTGTCTTGTGACGCAGTTGGGTGCTTTCCTCAATGTGTGTCCTATCCACTTCCAGCGCTTCTTCCTGATTTCTTCCTCCACTGGGATCTGATTTGTTCTCTCCCACATCAGGTTGTCGCTGATAGTGTCCGGCCAACGGATCCGAAGTATTTTGCGTAGACAACTATTAATAAACACTGGTATCTTCTGGATGATGGCTTTCGTAGTTCTCCAGGTTTCTGCCCCATACAGTAGAACTGTCTTGACATTTGTATTGAAAATTTTGACTTTGGTGTTGGTTGCCAATTGTTTTGAGTTCCAGATGTTCTTCAGTTGTAAATATACTGCTCTTGCTTTGCCGATACGTGCCTTCACATCTGCATCAGATCCACCGTGTTCATCAATGATGCTGCCCAAATATGTAAAGGTTTTTACATCTTCCAAATCTTCTTCGTCGATTGTGATTGGATTGGTGCATGCTGTGTTGTACCGGAGAGTCTTGCTTTTCCCTTTGTTTATATTGAGACCTATTGCTGCTGAGACTGCAGCTACACTGGTCGTCTTCTCCTGCATTTATTGTTGCGTTCGCGATAGAAAAGCCGGATCATCTGCGAAGTCTAGATCATCCAACTGCATCCTAGTTGTCCACTGTATCCCGTGCTTCTCTTCAGATGTTGACGTCTTCATGATCCAGTCGATCACCAGGAGAAAGAGAAAGGGTGAGAGTAAGCAACCTTTCCTGACACCGGTATTTACTTCGAACGACTTTGTCAACTGTCCTCCATGCACGATTTTGCAGTTTATTCCATCATAGGAATTCCGTATGATATTGACTATCTTCTGAGGCACGCCGTAGTGTCGAAGAAGCTTCCATAGGGTTGTTCTGTCCACGCTATCAAATGGTTTTTCGTAGATAATGAAGTTGATGAAGGGTGATGAATTCCATTCAATTGATTGTTCCACAATGATCCGTAGAGTTGCGATTTGGTCTGTACACGATCGATCCTTACGGAATCCAGCCTGTTGGCCTCGAAGTTTGGCGTCTACAGAGTCCTTCATTTTGTTTAACAATACCCTGTTGAAGACTTTTCCTTGTATTGAGAGAAGAGCGATGCCTCTGTAGTTCTCACACTTGCTGAGATCGCCTTTCTTTGATATTTTGACCAGAAATCCTTCTTTCCAGTCTCTTGGTAAGTGTTCCTCATCCCAAATCTTATTGAAGAGAATGTGGAGTATATTTGTAGTTACCGCTATGTCTGCTTCAAGTGCCTCTGCTGGAATGTTGTCTGGTCCTGCTGCTTTGCCACTCTTGATTTGTCTGATAGCCGTGCTGATTTCTTCAACTGTTGGTGGGCCAGCATCGATTGGGAGGTCCGTGGGTGCTGCTTCGATGTTGGGTGGGTTGAGTGGGGCTGGTCGATTCAACAGTTCTTTGAAGTGTTCTACCCACCTGTTTCGTTGTCCTTCGATGTTGGTGATTACCTCACCTTCCTTCCGCCTATGACCAGTTTATTGAAGGCACATAGGTTTGCAAATCTCTCAGCATTTTCGTTCTTTTTTCCCAGTCTGTGTCGTCCCATGATCTCTTCATATCCAGTGTTGTCGATTCCAACCTTGGCATTTAAATCTCCCATCAGAATGGTCAGGTCCTTTGTTGGGCACTTCTCGACGATTGACTGCAGCCTATCGTAGAATTGATCTTTAGCATCTTCATTATAGTCGTTGGTAGGCGCGTAGCATTGGATGACGTTCATTGTAATGCCCTCTTTCTTTGTTTTGAAGGAGGCTTTGATGATCCTTGGTTCATGAGATTCCCATCCTATAAGTGCATTTTGTTCTTGTATGGACATCATCAATGCTACTTCTTGTGTATGTGGGGCATTTCCTTCTTCATGTCCGGAGTATAACAGCAGCTCCCTGAAGCTAGTCGTTGTTGTCCAACTTGCGTCCAATGTGTTTCACTGATCCCAAGCACCTCTAAATTGTATCTCCTCATTTCTGCATCAATTTGGAAAACTCTCCCAGTTTCCCACATTGTACGAGCATTCCATGTACCTAAATTGTGTAATTTTATATTAACTGTTTCTCAAATTTTTATCTGTACACCTTATAAGGTTTATAAATTCTGTACTTATCATTAAAAAGTTACCCTGTTATTTTTAATGTTCTCTCTACGTATTATCCCTTTTAAAGTCCACCATTTACGGGTACTGATCCAATGAAAATTTATAATGTTGTCCTGCGTGGAATAGATTGTGTTGAATTCGATCCATTAAATATAAGTCGAACTGCAACTACACTTATTAAACGTTTATGTGCACAGAATCCAGCTGAACGGTTAGGCTATGGACGAGGGGGAATAATCGATATTAAACAAAATAAGTGAGTGATAATATATATGAAATTTATTTTTCTGTTCATTTACTATGTGTATCAACTTCATATCGTGAACACTAAAACGTTAATTATAATTGATAATTTGACTAATCTCAGGGTTATAATTACACCTTATTAGCATATCGTATTGATTTAATTAACAGATTTCGGATGAGCAATGATAAATAAATGGTTGTTCCTAGTTTAACATTCCTCAGCAATGAACATTTATTACTTCACCCCAAGCAAAATTAAGCTCATAATCAACAAGTTTAGCAGTTAGTAAATTTTGAACATCAATAAATGCTTGATGTAGTAAGATTTTCATCTAATGTCATCATTGAGTTATTCTATCACCTTTGATTTCTTGCTGACACATTCGAAAATTTTTCACCTACGACCAAGGATATCGTACTGACTGTGATAATTGAAGTAGTTGCGTCTAATTCTATGTAATGTGGCAACTACACACCATTCAGAAGTTAAAAAGTAATAAACAACTGCGCTCATAAGTTTTTTCCTAAATGTTATCAATTCTGGACAAAAATCGCCTTCGACATATCCAAACTGTGTTTTTTGAGACCCGATTGTTTCATTTAAAGCGATTCACATAATGGTACTCTATGAATGATTGTATCGAAGATGATTATACAAAAAAACAAAACTAGGGTAGTTAAAAACACACTTTGAAATTATTTAATATTTAGGCTTAAATTGTCACATATGTTCAGTTATGTCATTAACAGATATTTGAAATAAAGTGTCATTTATATATGAAGTTTTAAGCATATTATAAATTATGTTCTTAAAATTCTCATTGGTTGTAAATTATCCATTTTGTATACAAAGAAAACAAAGTTTATTAATGTTTATTTTCTTATTATAGGCAGTCGAAAATAGTATCAGTGATTTTAAAAATCAATATAACTAATTCATCTTATTGACTATGTTATGGTATTTATAATGTACAGGAGTTTATAACGCAAATAACTACTAAACTGATTAAGAAGGACAGATATAAGAGACTATTCACAAAATAATCATTTTCTCTTTAATTTCAAGTTGTGTCACTATTTTCAGTGAATTATATTTTTTTTAGTTCTGAATTTCATATGCAGTTGTGTTAAGGTAAAATACGATAATTCTAACTGATGAATATCTATAGAGAATTCCTATATTGTTTATGCTAATCTGTGCGTAAAATAATCTGTCTATGCGATTTAAACCAGTCTAACTTGGGTACGGCCGAGGGTGGAGAGAGTTAACTCTTCCCGCCCAAAATGCTCTCATATGGCCACGTATATACAGCCAATGTCAAAGGAGTCTTAATCACTGCCTTCTCGCGATGGAGGCGTTATTTATGAAATTGAGAGGACGAAAAGCGAATGTTCGGTGCTTGATATGGATATGGAGAATCCACCTAGGGGAGTTGGAAAACCCTAATTTCAAACCATTGGTGCACATGGGCTCCAGGATCCTGACGGAACAAATGGCGTATGAACCTATTGCTGGCCACTGGCTACCATGTGATTGCTTCTGTTGAGGTTTCTCCACTTTCTTGTGGATTAGACTTGTAGGTCAAAGGCTGTGAGAGTGGAACCCCAAGGAAAACACCTGCTTCTGTGCGGGCACTCGAGCAGTATTTCAATCCTTACACAAAACTAATGACGAGGTGTGGCGCTTATATATTGAGTGCTTCCTTATACCACTGTTTATGTGTCTAAATAATGATAATAAAAATAACTTGGGAATACGTAAACTAAAAAAAATCACTGTCCCATCAATGATCCCTAGCTGTTAGGTCAAAATGATCAGTTTAATGAACTATTAGAAAGTATCAGTCAATTAGATAGTAGATATTTTATCTTTGAGTCAACTGATATATAAAAAGTATGAGAAACAATTAAAGTAGAAATATTTTGTTTCATTATTTATCTATGAATTATGATATTAAAGTAAGTTTATATAACATCGTTCTTGTCTAATATCGGTTTAAAAAAGTCGTACACTGTTGAAAATTACTAAACTAGATAAAAGACAATATAAGTGGAAAAATAAATTGACTCTAATTTTTTCCCACTTTATTACATCATTTCCTACATGATACATTGTGTAAGAGTACAATGCTATTCATATAACATCTATTATTGATTAATAATAGGCTAATGATTATATGAAGTCACTACACATTGAATATTTAATCGAAAGAAAAGGAATAGTTGTCTTGATTCAAAAAGTTAAAACGATAATAATCTAAACGGCAAAAAGAGTCAATGTTTACAGGGTAAATTTTAATACTTAAAATAAAAAAATATATATTTCTTTCAAAACTATGAATAAATGAATGGTTTTACAGTAACTACATACAAGATTAATTTATAATGATACTGAAATAATGAAACAAACTATCAATGTTTAGCAATAAATTTAAGCAGATCTTTATTGTATGATAGTGGAAGTTCTAATGTAAGTGATCACTGAATGTGGGCAAACAACCACTTAACTTACCGACTATTAAATGTGCAATTTCCTTTTCTACTACTGATATCTGTTCCGAACCCAATGAGTGGAAACTGCCTGTAATTGTGTTGAACAAATTATTGTCTAACCTTAATTCTGGTTGCCTTTATCTGGTCGCGAAACTTGTGTTTCTCATAAGGTGATCCCAGTCTTTGTATTGTACCAAACGAATATCCAGTCTTATTTACCTATGCCTGTTATCCCTTGTGGAGGAGCATAGACCGCCCACCAACAGACTCCGTTAAACTCTGTCTTCGATAATCCTTTCCAGTTCTTCCCAATCGCTATTCATTCTTTTCATGTCTGCTTCCGATTCTCGACGAAGTGTGTTCTCTGGTCTTCCACCTTTTCATTTCTCTTGACGATTCTATGTTGGAACTTGACTCGTGATGCACTTTGATGATTTCCACAACGTATGTCGTATCCATCTCCAACGTGTTTTTCTAATTTCCTCTTCAACTGGAAACTGAATTGTTTTTCCCCATAGTGGGTTGTTGTTGATGGTATTCGGTCAACGGACAATGAGTATCTTGAGTAGACAATCATTCATAAATACTTGTACTGTACGAATGCCACCCTTCTTTTGTCAATCCTCGTCTTTACGTCTGCATCGAATTCTCCTGGTTCATCGACGATGTTTCCCGGTCACGTGAAAGATTCTGCAACTTCCAGAGCTTCTCTACCATGTGTGATTGGATTAGTGTTCTCAATGTTGTATATGAGGTACTTGGTCTTTCTCTTGTGTATATTGAGGCCTACTGATGCAATGACTCCTGCAGTCACACTGGTTGTCTTGACCTGCATTTGTTGGTGTGTGTGGGATAGAAAGGCAAAGTCATCAGGAAAGTTCAAATCACCTAGTTGCATGCAGGCTGTCCATTGTATTCTGTGCTTCCCCTCATATGTGGAGGTCATTTTAACCTGTAATTGTCCATTCAAGCATTGTTTAGATCTCCTACCAAGATGGTCAAGTTCTTTCCTGAGCACTTCACTATGGTCAGTTAAAGCCTCTCGAGAAACTGACATTTATCGTTGTTATCGCTTTCATTGGAAGATGCAAGGCACTGGATATTATTCACTGTAATTCATTACTTCTTTGTTTTGATAGATTCCTTGATGATCCTGGGTCCATAAGATTTCCATTCTACAGGTGCTTTAAGTGGTTCATTGGACAGCATCAGAACAACTCCCTGAATGTTTGGAGAATTTTCACTTTTGTGACCAGAGTACAACAGCATCTTTCCCGAATCTGATTCATTTTGTCCAGCTTCCGTCCAATGTGCTTCGCCTATTCCGAGCACCGCCATGTTGTATCACCTCCCTATCTCTCACATTGTCCGAACGTTCTATGCACCTATATTAATTGTTACTCTGGTTATTGAAAGACGCATCGGCCTCATGACTCCTGAAGAATCTCGGCTTTCAGCATTAGGCGTGATAAGTCTTGTGAATTAAGATCCCTTAACTCGGAGGGCAGAGGGATTTGCAATTAAGGGTGGGTGAACACATACCAAAATGGTTGCAAAAACAAATGGATTCCAATAGTCAAATAAGATCACAGGATAGACAGACATCTTCCTCTATTGTGAAACATTTGATTGAGACGAGTCATAAGGTTGACATCAAATCAGCATTTGTAGTGTTATACAAAAGCCTTCAAGGACGTATACTAAGGTTTATTGAAGCCTTGGCTATACGGAAATTGAAACCTCCTTTATGTGTTCAAAAACAATTTGTCCTTACACTTGACCTACCCTGGTAATACTGATTTATTATCCAGAGTGGTAATCACGTTTGTTTTTGTGTACTTTATTTTTCTTTGTCACAGCTTACCTTTAACCAGTTTAGTCGACTTTTTTATATATAAATGTTCTGAACAAGTATACGTGTGATCAAATTGTTCGAAATGTATTGCACAAATATATAGCATAATTCCGATAACCTTCGTCTTCTCATTGTATTATCGAAGTTTATCAAAGGGACTAATTGTTATAAAGTATTTTAGACAATCATATTGTATATTCTCCCGTTATATCATTCTTAAAATCTCATATCATCTATTTTAATTTTTGTAAATTTTGTTTTTAAACCTTAATGAAAATGATAAAAGTTAGTTGAATTGGATGGTCCAATAATAATAAACTTTTGTCTATCATGCTCTCATTACATTCATTTTATTTGGCTAGGCTAAAACAAAAATAGTAATGATTTATGATATATCTGTAAACAGTGTGCATTGCTAACCGAAAATGGTTTTTATGAACTGTACTACATTACAGATTGTTTCTGAAATGTTTTCTTGTTTATAAATAAAGATAATGGAACAATTAATAACAATTTTATGATTAAATAAAACATAAATAGACAGACCTAATCAATATAGAGCCGGGAACAAGTGTGTGTTGGCCCAAGTTGTCATATCTGATTAGCATGATAATGTGAAAGTAACTAAAAAGGTCAAAATATTGTAGTAGCAATGATAAAAAGGAAAACTAAACTTTATGAACATGCTTTGAAAATACAGAGTGGAAAAGTCTGTATAAATGAATACCGGGATTTAAGATAGACTGGAAGATAAAAAGTGAATATATCTGATTTAGTATGAACGCATCTGAACCTTGTCACTCAAAGTCTTCATCTACTCGTCGCGGTTGTTCCACGGACCCTAACAAAGTAGTTTGAATCTACCAACATGTCTAAGACAAACAACCAACAGACTGACCATACATTTTGTTTTGATCGTCCACAGCTTTCTTTCACTTTCTGCATCAGGAAGCATCGCTCATCAAAGTAGGTGATGGTTAGTAATCACATAATTTTATCTCTTTTGCTCACAGATGACAGATTTGAGCGCTTCTTTATACTTTGAACCATCAGTTTGAAGACTGTTACCATAAATATGATCGGATGTAACAAATATCTAGCTATATGTTGTTTAAACTCTTTTGTCAAGTGTGAAAATATCATTAATTTTTTACATTTTTTTACTGATACATTTAGATATTTCCAAGGATTTGACTGGATCGGTTTGCATCGTGGTACATTAGCAGCTCCTATACAACCTATTGTAAGTTGTCTCCATTCAATATAAATCATATTACGTATGAAATATCTTATTTATTTTCAATACTATTCGTTATATTCTAAGTTACTCAGAATAAATTGAAAACGGGAGCATAATGAAAACACTACCTGGTTTTCAACCAACAGACTGAAGGTTTAAACTTTGCTCTATAATTAGTCATCACACATGAAGTTGGACTTCAGACCAAGTACATAAAGCAATAACTGACAAATGAATTACGTTTATTTTTGAAATCAATGGGATCAACTTATGTCACAAATTCTTTGATCAGATTTCATTCTACCAGGACTAGAAGCATTACTATTCTGGCCTATGTGATTAGATTTGAAAGCAGAGCAAAAGGCATTTAACAGTGTGGGGTTGTGGATATTGTTAAGTTTTTGGTTGAGATCATGAATCACCCAATTTTAGAACATCACGGAAAACCTGGGAGCACTGGACGGCCGTTTCGTCCTAGTATGGAACTCCGCAGTAATGTACATCCACGATTCCGTAAGCTGAATTCAGAGCTCATCCGTGTCATGCAGAAACAAGTATCTCCCCCAGACAATCGAAAATGGTTGCGCAATTTCGTCGGTTGTTTGAAATTAGGCATTAACACCGTTGAATACTGTCTCGGTGGTCCAGAGGTTAGGCGTTCGCGCGCGAGACCGAAGGTCCTGAGTTTTAGTGCCGCGTGGGAGATCGCGGATGCACACTGTTGAGAAGTCGTATACTAGAACGAAACGGCCGTCCAGTGCTTCCAGGTTTCCACTAGTTGTCTAACATCGATCCTTTCATGATCTCAACAAAAATGGCATTTACGGGAAGTTGTTTTTCCTCCTTTTATCTGCTTGTTTAATCCAAGAAGCAAGCACATGAAGTGACTGGATGTTGAACTTCATTAATGAATCGGTTTCTTGAAAAATATTTTTCTTGATAGAGTGAACAATAGTACGGCCGAGGGTGGAGAGAGTTAACTCTTCCCGCCCAAAATGCTCTCATATGGCCACGTATATACAGCCAATGTCAAAGGAGTCTTAATCACTGCCTTCTCGCGATGGAGGCGTTATTTATGAAATTGAGAGGACGAAAAGCGAATGTTCGGTGCTTGATATGGATATGGAGAATCCACCTAGGGGAGTTGGAAAACCCTAATTTCAAACCATTGGTGCACATGGGCTCCAGGATCCTGACGGAACAAATGGCGTATGAACCTATTGCTGGCCACTGGCTACCATGTGATTGCTTCTGTTGAGGTTTCTCCACTTTCTTGTGGATTAGACTTGTAGGTCAAAGACTCGGGGTGTGGCTCCCTAAGAAAACCACCTGCTTCGGTCTGGGCACCTGGTTATTATTACAACCCACATACACAAATGAAGTGACTTATGTGGCGCATATGTATTCGGTGCTCCTTTGTATCAATATTTGTGTGGTCAAATAGATAAATATAATTAATAATAGTTATTCACCAATTTGGAAAAAATGGTCACTTTTTACCATGGTGAAAATATAATTACATAATTTTTATTGATTTTTTTTAAAAATTATCTGTCACTTAATTCCTATAGATACTTGGTCCAGATGATACAACTAATTTTGATAAATATCCTCAACAAAATGAAGTTCCACCCGATGAAACATCAGGTTGGGATATAGAATTTTAGCATTAAATTATTATTTATCATTGTTAACTTGTCACAAATGATCTAAAACCTTTTTTCTTATTATTTCATAGATATGTTTATATAAATAATGATTGTAGGTGTGTGTGTGTATGTATGTATGTAAGCATGTATTTATGTATGAGATTTGTGCATTTGATAAAGAGTGTAGTTGTTATCGTATTGAAATTCTATCTATCATATAGCATATCTATATTCCATATAAATTATTCATAATCTACAATTTGTGTTTTATCACCTTAACTGATCAATCATATACATTACTTTATTTATTGAACAATGAAATGATTTAACCTATTTTATATAACTGTGAATAATAATTATTATTTATATATTTTTTTCGGTCATGTTTTCAATTGTAAAGAGAGTAAAATAGAAACTATTCAAATCATATAGATGAATTTTTTTTCTTTACTCTTCTTTTCTCTCATTTTTTCGTATCAAACTCATTAGATTTACTTTTCTGAATTAAATAACAAATAAACTTTTGAACTGAAAAAAGCATATTCTTTTTTTCATTGTACGATTCGAGTTCCTTTTTGTTGTTTCATTGTTTGTTTGTTTGCTTTTAATGTTTTTGTTCTCTGCTTTTTTTCTTCCGGTTTTGTTTTGTTTTTGCAATGCGACAAAAAGTGAAAAGAAGATAATAATTTTATTGTTGAATTAAATTTTCACATTATTCTTAATTAGAAATAAAATTTCTTGTTTTCTTCCTTTTTTTGATAAAGAAATTCATTATAAAATATATTTCACTGCTGTGTACATAAATAAAGAAATAAATGTGTGTATGTTTATATATGTGTGTGCTTATTTAAAGTTCTACTAACCTAAATGATGCACATCAAATTAGCAATAATTGAGTTTAGATTTGATCTAATACAGACATCAACTTTGTAATCATGATATATATATATATATATATATATATATATATATATACCACTCGATTTGTATCAGAATGTGTACTTATATAATTGATATTTTAAAGAAAAAAAATTTTAAAAAATAAACGTACTATCTCGCTTATTTATCCAATATATATTGAAGATCATTTATATATAAGATTTATCTAATTATCATCAGAGTTATTGAGAGTTTGTTTTGAAAATTTTTTATAATATAGATTTAATCAATAAAATTATACTGCTGTTTTCTAAGTTATTTTTCAATAAGAGTATGAATGTTTTCTTTTTTTATTTTCATTTTATCCCTGATCACTGTTTTTTTTCTTTCTTATTCTACAGTTGTTTGTATTTAGTTAAAGAATCTTGTAAGGCTTCATTATTCCTAAATTCTGTTAAATATTTCTTTATATATGAATCATGTTTTGTTGACAAATTAAGTGGATGAATAGAGAATAAGTTAGATCATATGTCAATCCTTATTTACAGATTTTAATTGAATCTGAATTAAAAGATAATCATGTCTGTCGATTAGAATATTCATTTAAAGTGTGTTATTCAAAGTTTAAGAGATATATTACTTGATTCTTGTTAATATGAATACTTGATTTATTCTAACACCTAACTCGTATCTTTTTTTCTTGATGTTATTGAGTCTGTTGTTTGTACAAATTTTGAACAATTCATATAAATGTATTTATATTAGATGGGTTTTTTTCTGAATATCTTCGTTACATAATCAATATTATTTACTCCAGCTAAAAAGAACTTAATAACTACACCACTTTTTCAGTTTATTATGTTTATTTATTTTTCAGTACTAATTAACAATTCATTAGTTGTGTGTGTGAATGTGTGTGCTTTATTTAAATTAGTTTATCTTATTGTAAGATAATCCATATTTAAAAAACTAACTAATCAGTATAGGTCGAATTCTTTTTGCCATCATTGATCTATTATTGATTATAATTCACCTTATTGATTTTGTTGTTTACTTTTAAGAAAGACAATTAGAAGATTATACTAAATATGATATTGATTGACTAAAAGAAACTAACTTTAAACAAGAAGCTATAATTACATACTAGTTATTTTTAGTTAGTGATTATTAATGGAGCATAAAATGGTTACTAAAACAATGTCCTTCATTATAGTTAGTTTTCAACTTAGTTTGTAATCATAACAACTAATAAAGACATTATTACTTCTCCTGTTAGCGTCATCAGGTTTTGGCAACAACAATAAATATAGAATATATTTTTGAAAATAATGTCCAATAACTATGTATGTAACTATCCATGTTTGGACAGTTTTCTCTGAAAAAATTTAGATATCTACCTAACCACAAATTCAACCTCACTGAAGTAAGCACGAATTACGATGAAGCCTTTATGATAATGCTAGTCAGATTAGAATATCCAAAGATGGTCGATATTTTATTTTATACTATCTAGTCTTAGGATTTTGTTGTGTTGTTTAAAATTAATACTGTTTTCCAAATTCCTGCGGAACTTCATTAAAATCTTAATGAATAGTTTCATAGGATTAAATACTAAGTATACAGAAAACAATCAATATAAAGTTGTACTTGTAAAATTCTTAGCAATTGAAATTAAACGATTTCAACTGTTTAACCTGATAATATTTTTCTAGCTGCATACACAAAACCATATTCTATGAATCAAGTACATTTTATATGGAATAACTGTTAATCACAATGTAAACAAAAATAGAATTCGAATATGATCTGATAATTATTTAGTGAATATGTATATTCCATCAAAGAAACAAGTTTGATATATTTCAGTTGTAAATACAGTAAATCCTTCCTGATATGACAAGGCTTAAAGCAATGTTTAGTGCAACAAAAATGTTCACATAAAATATACAATATGATTGTCTAAAATACTTTATAACAATTAGTCCCTTTGATAAACTTCGATAATACAATGAGAAGACGAAGGTTATCGGAATTATGCTATATATTTGTGCAATACATTTCGAACAATTTGATCACACGTATACTTGTTCAGAACATTTATATATAAAAAAGTCGACTAAACTGGTTAAAGGTAAGCTGTGACAAAGAAAAATAAAGTACACAAAAACAAACGTGATTACCACTCTGGATAATAAATCAGTATTACCAGGGTAGGTCAAGTGTAAGGACAAATTGTTTTTGAACACATAAAGGAGGTTTCAATTTCCGTATAGCCAAGGCTTCAATAAACCTTAGTATACGTCCTTGAAGGCTTTTGTATAACACTACAAATGCTGATTTGATGTCAACCTTATGACTCGTCTCAATCAAATGTTTCACAATAGAGGAAGATGTCTGTCTATCCTGTGATCTTATTTGACTATTGGAATCCATTTGTTTTTGCAACCATTTTGGTATGTGTTCACCCATCCTTAATTGGAGATCATGACTATTCCTCCCTATTTACGTGCTTCAGCACATACATGTAAATTTATTTATTTATTTGAACACATAAACATTGGTACAAGGGGGCACCAGGTACATATGCGCCACACAATAATATTGAGAATGGGAAGAGATAAAGAATGTAAGGTGCGTGTAAAAAGAAAAAAAGAACAATAACGACCACAAATTAGTGTATGGTAGTGAAATAATAATAATGGGGGAAACAGATATGTACAATCAGAAAAAATCCTTTCAGTTAAAAAAGTTATGATCACTTATTACGAAGAACTCTGCCCATCGTCCAAGACGTCAATGAATGTTAGTGATTGGCATCCCGTCATCCTCACAGATTGTTTCGTTCACACCAGACTACTTGCTGCCAGTGGCTCGGATGAGTTGGAAGAGCTTCTGGCAATTACCTGATACAGCTGCTGCTTCCAACTCACCACCAGGCTTCTCGACCCTTACGCAAGCTTTGACCAACTTCATTACGTAAAATCCTTCGTTTGTGGCCAAACTCATGGTCACCTGGAGAAGACCGACGGGTCTCGATGAGTTGTAAGGAGCCTGAAGAAGCCCAGTGCTTATAAGCGGGACGTTTCGAGAAGCCACAAGCGACTTTACTCGCCATTTTCATGGCGTCATGCAATTGCAACCAATTTTCATCTATATTTTTCTGTGGAATGGTAGGTAGCCTAGAACCTAGCTCGGTTTGATACTTAGTTGCAACAGATTCTGCAATCAGTTTACTGACGTCAATCCGTTTAGGATGATGAATTCGTTGGCCTCTGGGAAGTAAGGTAAGATGGGCTCAAACAAGGGCATGATCAGTCCGGATAGGTATTCCGAAAGGAGCGGCAGTCCTGTACACAACCACGCCAGCGGTAGCTGAAGGTGATATGATCAATCTGAGTCAGGTGGCACATCGGCGATGACTATGCCGGAAGTTAGTGCTAGAGTAAATTAATAGACACAGTCGATTACGTGCTGTTTGGTCAAACATAGACCTTGTCTTTCCAATAATGAAAAGTTGGGTTGCATAAAATATCCGATTGATGGTTAATTTAAGTCTCTGTTTCAACATGAGACCATTTCAATTACCTCTAAATGGAAACATAATGTTAACCCACTTTTTGGGTTCCAGAAGTGTCATAGGTCTAATCGTATTATATCCCTTCTAGAGGTTTATGAGCTTCAATGAATAACCACTTCCCATTAACATTTCAGTCAAGAATTTCGTCTCTACTTCAATAGTATCGCTAGTACGAATATGATTGTAAAAATACAAGTAAACTAATTCCAGGTTGTTTGTTTCATATTTCATACATAATTTGCTATCTGGAATATATTTAATTAACATGAATGAAGTTATGAATTATAAAGTACATTATAAATAAGTTGAGATCTATGATTTAAAATAAAAGGTAGAAACGGAAAGATAACAGTCTAGTTACGAGAATCAGAACTACTATAAACATTTATTTTTGTTTATCAAATTACAAATCGATAAAAAGTATATACAATTTTGCATTTATAATCGAGGCTAACAAAGATTAAAAACAAAACTAGGGGTTATTATTCTTTTTTTTAATTCTAACCGATAAATCACACTTGGAATATTTATAACGAGTTAACATGTTTTTCATTAGTTGTTATTTATGTCAAGTACCCGCTTGTAATCACCTTCAAGTGGAGAATTAGAAGTGTATTTTAAACAAACTTAAATTTGTTATCCTTTTCTCTTGTTTTTTATCAACTATACACAACTTAAATAAAGTATCATTCATGTGAGACATCTAATGATAAACATTAAATGTACTGTGTACAAATCATTCGTATACGAAATACTAAGTTACTTTACTACTTTACATTCTTTGATTAGTGGAATTACATTCGCTACATAAAAAGTTGATTCGTTACCTAAATAAATCTTCAGTTACATCTCCAACGCAGCATTGTGTGACAAGACCAAAAGTCTTCTTAATCACTAAGATTTTCTTTACAAAATGTAACTTTCTATTTCATTTTAACCATTAGTTTTGGATATTTAACTAGATCGTTAGTAGTTGACTAGTTATCATAAAGTGATTCCATATAAATCTACCAACGTCAAAGACTCTACAACATCATACCAGTTTCTTTTTAATAATGACCTATAAACACATGATAAGCTTTTAATTTATCCATATAAATGCAGATAGTTTTCTTTTCTGTTAACTAGACCTATACTCTGCATCTCAGGTATGGTAGCCAATGAACTCTGGTGATTATTTCCGAACTAGAACGAAACAGATTGCAAGTTCTTTCTGATTCTCTAAATGATACAAACATGTGATCAACTATTTTCAAACCAAATTAATCTATATAAACTGGTTAGCTGAAACAATTTCTGAATGCCTTGGTAACGTCAGTTTAGAATATTTTATTAACATAGGGGGATTTTGTAGATTGTTGACTTTGATAATTCACATGACTACGACTGAAAATCTGGAAGCACTAAATAGTTGTTCAGTACTAGTATGTGACTCCTCAGCAGTTTAGATTTAAAACTCCAG